TATAACGGTTAGTTGCTCTTTTGCATATCAGAAGGTCGTGGGTTCAAAAAACGAAATGATTTGGTCATCTGGTTAGTATTGAACAAAATCAGCCAGCAGCTAGAGCTTACTTCATAAGAAAAACCAGACTATAATTCAAGAAGCCGACCAAGAAAGAGATGGACAGAGGGAGTAAAAGAGACACTACAGAAAGGCAATGTAATGTTAACACAAAATACGCAACCAGCAAAAGACAGGAAACTGCATATAACTCTTCTTTGTGACGTTTTGCGGCATAAGCAGCAGGGCAAAAGAAAAAGAAAGAACCACAAATAAAGAAATGATAGCACACAATGGCACGGCAACAGCAGCTTTTCAAAGTCGGAACAATAAATAGAGCTTTAAATTATATACTTTCAAATCAATTATGTTTTGTTTTTAAATTTGATTTTTTAATGTATTTTTTTTTAATTTTTATTTTTATATTTTTGTTGGCGTGCTGTGGCTTAGACGTTGCGAACGCGCTTTGTATTGTATGGGTGCCAAGTTGGATCCCATTGCAGGCGATTTGGCAGCAGACCACCTTGCGTTGGTTTTGACAGTGGTATCCAGAGCTGACCGTTTAAGTAAGCAAAGGCAAACAATGGAATGTAATTTTGCCTAGAAACTCACAAACAATAAAAATTAAAAAAAATGATGGAGTTATTTCTGCAACGTCCTGTAAAGGAAACGTAACTAATTTTATTTCAGTTTTAAAGTATAACAGTGAAAGTTGGAGACCCGCTTAAGACTTTGAAAGAAGGTTAAATACATTAAAAACAAACGCTTTTGGAAACTAATGAACCTTGAAAGCGGTGAATTCAAGAAAAATGAAGTAATTAAAAAAATGTTAGGGATAGCCACTTTTGAATCGTCGAACAAAAGGGCAACATATTGGGCATATAATGAGAAGATATGGACAGGGACACACCGAACAGGTACCTAAATTAGAAACAAATCGATTGCGGAAACGAGGATAGAAACTCTAAAAAGAATATTGTTGAGATGGACCAAAGACACTGAGCTGAATTCCATCCATAATTTTTAGAGAACTGAACAGGATAACATGAAATGGAGCACTAATGTGAGCCCAATGTGATGTGTAACGGCGCACCAGTACTATTACTATCGTGTTAATTATTATTATGTGCACATTGGCAACTATGCGTTTTTTAACTACAGTGAAAAGAGGAAAAGGGCAATGATAAGGACATGAAATAAGATCTAGCGGCCTCTAAAAGAAAAAATACAGGGCTTAGTAGGGGCTAAGAGATGAACTAAGAGGCAGACCAAGGAAGATTTGGATACAGAATTTGACTGACTGGACAGGTCTTAGGCATGCAACCATGAAATCCATCGCATCAGACCGTCAAAGAGGTGGAAAGCAGATAAGAGTCAACCGCACCTGGTGACCCAACGACATGCAATGTTACGGGATGATAATGATGATGGAATGTTTTTCGACTGTGACCAACGTGGTGTCGTGAACTGTAGATTCAGAAAATTGGCGCGTGGGCTGTCGCCGCGATATTGGTGGTGCCCTTATGTGATTAATATTGATCGCGTGCGCAACTGCTGATCTGTTGGCGACTTCTGCTAGCGTCGATGACGAACTGCATTTTTAATGTCAAATTGTTTGTGTTAGCACTTCTGATGGCTACCGTATGCTTTTAATGCGTGTGTATGCTAGTATGTGTAGGGACAGCAGTCTGTCAATCTTTCCACAAAGGACAGGGATAAACATTCTGTGTGTTTTTCGTAGGCACAGGAGACGAGCAACTATGGTGTGACTCGTTTGCTATGAAGCTGAAACTAAGAATACCAAGACTACCAAGATGATGGGAGAGTTTTTCTATATGTAGAAGATACTAGTGCAGGCTGTAAAATGTAATGAGAAACTGTTATTATGTGTATCTACAGGAAATATTGCAACCGCCATGACATCAATTCTAGGACGCTGGACATTCGATGGCATCTCAAACGCTCTTGTCTCAGTGGACACATTTTTCACTATCAGGTACATATCTGTAGAACTGTCAGATCTTTCTAAATCCCGTCTCAAGTCAGTTTCGTGCATCGACTGGCATGAGATGTTTGCGAGATACCGATTTCCTTATCGACTATGAGATCGTGTTGTGCACTATATGCTAGCACCTCTCCGATAGTGTTCCACCGTGCTATAGGAAGGCATGGGAATTCATAGCCCGTGGCGAGGGTGAGTTCGACTATCTGCCCAGCTCGCTTAAGAAGTCTTCCATAAGAAGTGCTGGAGATTTCTGGATACTGTTCTTTTCAGACTCTCATCTCTTAATTCGTGTCCAATTCTTTTCCTTTTTTTTTTTTAAATCTCCTTTGTCTTCCTCCTCAACCCCCCCCCCCCCCTCCCTCTTTATGCAGTGCGATCCTCTGCATCCAGTCCTACGAAGCCAACTCAGTACCTGTATCTTTCATATCCCGCTTGCCACATCAATAAACAGTAGCAGAGAGGTCACGTCGGCCTTTTCTACCCAAGTGTAATTCATCTTAGAGCGGGAATGTCAAATGAAGTGTCCTTCCGAGGGCCATATGGATCACATTTGTGTTGTCACGAGGGCCGATAATGGGAAAAATGGAGTGGAAAGGAGTCCTTTTACGCTGCTAATCATCCTCATTATCGTGTGCCCTGCCCACTGGCGTAGGCGCTCATGCGTCTCCACAGATCACGATCCCTGGTTGCCTGGAACAGCTCTCTTGATGGTATCCCTCCATGCCGTAGTTTCAGCTCATCCAGCAACATCTCTCTTGGTCTACCTCTACGCCTTTTCCCACTGATCTTTCCAGTTTTCACGATGTTCCTCAGTGTCTCTCTTCTCATTATGTGGCCAAAGAACAGTGTTTGTCTCTTTCTTATTGTTGTATAAATAAAAAGGTAAAGCAGGGAGATGTGAACCAGCGTCATTTTACGCGGTTATAAACAATAAGTGTTCTGCTACCAGTACGCACAGCTACTTTCTTTAGCTTCTTTCAATCAATCGTTTTTAGTTACTCTGGCCGTCCAAGGTTTTCATAACATTCGTCTCAGAAACCACATCTCTGTTGCTTCCAAATTCTTCTTAATTTGACATTAAAAGATGTCGCTGCCATACAGCAGAACAGGTTTTATGTAACACTAGCTGTACCCGGCCACGCGTTGCTGTGGCCCAGAATGGTGAAATGGAGAGGAAATAAAATAGCTCTCAGCTAACAGTGTCTGTCATACAGACAGACTAGACGCAGTTATATCTCCCTCTTCGAAGAATTACCAATCATATCCCCCTCTCCGTAGGACTGAAAAATCATCACCTGGCGATATTATTAACATAGAAATAGTTAAGAAAAGAGAACATTAAAAAATATTTTAAGCTCTCTCAGCTAACTATGTCTGGCATAACCACCCCCCTCCCCCCCCTCCCAATCATATCTCCCTGTCCGAAAGATTTAAAAAATCATCACCTTGCGAAGTCATATCTCCCTCTCCGAAGGACTGAAAAATCATCCATGGCGAAATTATTAAAAAAGAAATATTTAAGAAATGAGAACTTTAAAAAAAAATATATGAAGCTCTCTCAGCTAACTGTGTCTGGCAACCCCCTCCCTTTTCCACCAATCATATCTCCCTCTCCGAAGGATTGAAACATCATCACCTGGTGAAATTATTAAAATAGAAATAGTTAGGAAATGAGAACTTTAAAATAATGTTTAAGCTCTCTCAGCTAACTGTGTCTGGCATACCCCCCCCCCCCCCCCATCATATTTCCCTCTCCTCTCCAAAGGATTTAAAAATCATCACCTGGCGAAATTATTAAATTGAAATAGCTAAGATATAAGAACGTTAGAATAATATTTTAAGCTCTCTCAGCTAACTGTGTCTGGCATAACCCCAAAACCGAAAAAGGCTAGATATAGCAGCCTAGCCATAAAACACAACGTGCCAGCCGCCAAGTTAGGGTCTAAAAAAATATTGTTTCATCTACCGGGGAATCGAACGCGGGTCACCAGCATGATAAGCAGATTAGTTATCAACTACGCTATCAAACACTCAAGCAGATGGTGGAAATGTGATTATATAATAATGCAAAGTTCAGTGTGAGCTCGGCAGCCAAAAATAGCCAATCAGCTAAAAAGAAATCCGGGCCGGCAACGAAACAAATAATGATTTGACCGTTGCTGGAGCTACGTCGTTCGTGGTTTGTGCGATTCTTTGACAAAAATCACGCTTTGAATCAGAGGCAACGCTGTGTGAAAATTTTAAAGCAATCGGTTCAGTAGTTTCCGAGTTTTTATCTAACAACATCAGAAAATTAAGATTTTTAATAATTTAGATTTTAGCACACTCTTTCCGCTGCTACTACAACTCTTTTTTGGTGAGTTCCGGGACTGTTGCTAAACGTATTGAGTACCGGTCAAACTGTTATTCTTTCGGGGGGGGGGGGGGGGGGGGGGGGGGAAGGGGACTACAGCCTTTTAACTATTTCCTTGTCGATAGCTAGGGGATGATGTAAGTGTTAGATTTACTATTTTTATCGACTATTAAATGAAGGTGTGTGTTAAATTGTGATGATTACCTTATTAACTTTACGTGACCACGTGAGTAGGATATCATATTTATCAGGAAAGGTTTGATGAGCCTTGTCAGACTGAAATCTGAATTGATTAGATAGCAAGGTGTTTTATATAACGTTACATTTTACCCTGCCCATTGACGCCTGTGGCTCGCGTTCAGAAAAGTCAAAGCACAAACCTTAGGCAGTATTGTGGATCTCTCTCTCTCTCTCTCTCTCTCTCTCTCTCTCTCTCTCTCTCTCTCTCTCTCTCTCTCTCTCTCTCTTTCTCTCTCTCTCTCTCTTTCTCTCTCTCTCTCTATCGGCCTGCCTTGTTTACTACAAAGAACAGGTATCACCAATACGTTTGGAACAAAGTACGTTGCAGAAGCCGCCTGATCAGAAGAGCAGTGCTCTCGTAAGAACGGCTGTATAGTAGCACATAATTTCATCAACAACTCTGTTTCTCATTGTTACAGCGGGCTGCTCATTGCTTACCTCACTACCAAGGAGATCCTGAAGAAAGGATGGAAAATCAACTGGGCCATGTATTACTTTCACAGATTTTGGAGGTACAGTTGAACACTGATCCATATCTACTGAGTAACACACTCTTGATTACTGGTACACGCATACATATTAACTCATAAAAAACATTTAAGCAGTCTGACAATAATGTAGTAAGGGTGATATTATTATAGCCACACACACACACACACACACACACACACACACACACACACACACACACACACACACACACACAAACATCTAAAGACTGTCATGTATACAGTTGCATAACTCTAATCTCTACAGTTAAAATCACACATACATACACCCACGCATGCATACACGCATGTATTCAAGCAAGCCTACATGGACACACACAAGCGAGCGTGCATACGCAGATTTACTCGGGTCAGAGATTTGGTTTCTGACACCGCCTTCTCTAGAATTGTGTATACATCTCCTCGATGAAAAATTTTTTTAAACATCAGCCTCTCGACTTGCACAAGAACGGGAATCCCTGTTGACCTAGTTGGCCTATAAATAGGGTCGGCCATGGTTTCTGGGAAGAATGCAAAGAATATCATGGAAGGTTAGTTAGTTGCGTATCCTTAACATGACGTTGCAGAACCAACCCCAGCAGCCCCTGGCTGTTGTGGGGTTTCTCTAGGCAAATTTACGTCCAGTAGTTTGCCATTGCTTTCTAAACGCTCGGCCCCCTGATACCACTGTCGAAACCAACGCATGGCGCGTGGCCCGCAGCTGTGATCGAATCCGCACCCCGGCATTATAAAGCGTTCTCATCGACTTAGCCACAGAGCCAACTTCATGGAAGGACGGGGGGGGGGGGGGGGGGGGGGAATGAAGCGGTCCTCGTTGAGACAGGTGAAAGTGGTGAACTTTTTAGAACAGTTAGACGTAGACAGGCACTGTTTTTGGATATGTAGTAAGGGGGAGTGTGAGTGACTGGACAACTTGGTATCAACTGGCAAGATTGATGGAAACAGAGTAACAAGGAAGGCAAAGAAATAAAAATCTCGATGGCCTGGCCAGATGGATGGGCGAGACAAAAAACATTGATCTGATCTGATGCTGGTGATCGTGTGAGACGGCGAAACATGACAGCATATTCTAACCCGCGTGTCACACGATGATGATGATGATGATGATGATGATGATAATTACATACAAATACCCATTCAAACCAGTAGTGTGCTACCAGCGTCAGACTCGGACATTATCAAAGGCTAACTATCAGGAAACAATGGATTGCAACACTAAGCACTTCACGAATATCTGCCCTAACCTTCATCTTTGTGCCAGGTTATGCCGGTGTTCAAGGGAACGAGCGTGCAGACTATCTTGCTGACACTGCGGTTGCTATGGCTGGCCCAGTACTGGACAGAATTAATGTTATCAATGCCATGGGCTGCACTTATCGTACCGAGGACATGACTCCGTACTTCTGTCAGAACTGATGGACATGGGGATGCAGCTTGAGCTGCAAGAAATGAATATTTCACTAAGGAGACAAGACGTTTCCTTAACCAACACAGAACAGACGTCATCGGTCGTTTTACACTTGTGGAGTTTTTTGAGGAGGAGATCGGAGCATCTATAGATCTGTCCGGAGTGCTGTGATGATAATCCTTTGTAATCACTAATCACTAAACCCTAACCTACATAAAATGAGACGCCTGAGAAAAACCGCCAGCTTACCCTTCGAAACAAAGGTAAATGCGAGTAATATTATCAGACAGTCTGTAGCAACAATATCATTCAGCAAATTCATTTAGAAACAGAAGATCAAATGGTTTGGTCATCAAGTAAGAGTGCAGCTAGAACAACTAACAACGCAGGCGCTACACGTGAAAAGATCTGAAGTGAAATCATGAGGCCGCCCTAGGAGAACATGAACTGATGACATTATAGAACTTCTACATGGACATGGAATGACAGTAGGCGTTGCCTCCCACCAAGCAATGGATTGCGCACTGTTCCTCCCCCAAACGCTTAACGGCAGCAGTGGAAATTGATGATAACGATGACCCATTCGGAAATAACAACTGTCTCTAATCATCTACAGGTTGACCCCTCCCTACATGTTGGTTCTGCTGACGGCTCTAGGTCTCCAAAGATTTCTCGGCTCGGGCGCTCTGTGGAGCAGTGTTCAACCGGCGGACAAGGAAAACTGTGAAAATAACTGGTGGACTAACCTCTTGTATGTCAACAACATTGTCAACAACAAAGAAATGGTAACAGTTCATTTTCACCTCTCCTCCTCCTTATTATTTTTTGTTTTGTTCTTCTAGGCCAGCAGTTCTCAGCCTGTGGGTCGCGAACCTTTAAGGGGTCGAACGACCCTTACATAGGGGTCGCCTAAGACCACCGGAAAACACACATTCACTGAAGTTATGAAGTAACAAGGAAAATAATTTTATAGTTGGGGGCCACTACGTCACGAGGAACTGTATTAAAGGGTCGCGAGATTTAGGAAGGCTGAGAACCACTGGTCTAGGCTATGCCTTTTTGCTTTGGTAGTCATGCCTTTTTCACAGCCTTCTAGCTCTCCATGGCGAAGTGGTCAAACCGTTTGCCTGGCACTCTGAAACTCGTGTGTTCGTGGCGGAGTCGTTCGATTCACCAGTGGAATCCCGGGGGTCGTCACCAGAGCTACAAAGTTCGTGCTTTCTGCGATACCCCCTGCAGCAAAATGAAATCGATCCTCTCACTTTAACGTTTAACCACAACCTTGTGCCTCGTGTATTTTTAATAACTTCTGATACCATGATCTGCCACGTCATGATGCCAATCTGTCCAGCATCTTCTCACGAGGTCTTTCCCAGCATCTTTTTACTCACAGCTTTCACGTTGTCATGATGTACTCTAATTTTTCACTTATCACGATGTGATCAAAGAATGTACACCACCCCCTTTCCTTCTCTCCCCCCCCCCCTCCCGCCCCCTCCCCCCCCCCCGCCCCCACTTTTTTTTTTTTTTTTGGCCCTGAAAGGGAATCTTCGTGGATAAATATCAATTCCTTTCAAGACTTTGTTAAAGCTTTTATTTATTCATGGTCTCTCAATCGCCTATAAAATCACATCTCTGCAGCTGAGGGGACGGGCAAGTACATCTGTGCTTGTTGCTAAGATAGGGACAGAACACTTGTGGAAGTGTTCTCAAGTGTTGTATATCGTTTGTTAACTCATAATTCACCAATATAGCTTCCACGTTATGTTTCAGTAACCGACTGTAAATAACTCGCTTACGTTCACCACGATTTACTCTGTGTATATATTTATGTGTGTGTGTGTGTGTGTGTAAATATATATATATATATTAGGCACCCCGTTTCACACAACAGTGACATGTCTATGTGTAGATACACAAACGAGCTAATAAATTGCACCACTGTCTAAGTTTAGTCGCTTGTAAATTGCATGAATCCTCACAGATCTTCTTCATCTTACTAGGGCTCATAAGTGGGGCAAAGTATAGATGACGGTAGATCTCAACGATGATAAAGAAACACTAAGGAAGGAAGAAAGGAATGAAGGAATAGAAAGGAATGGAAAGGGAGTGAAAGAAAGGAAGGAAAGAAGGAAAGAAGAAAGGAAGGAAGGAAGGAAGGAGTAATATATAACGTTTCCTTGACTATTCACATATCCCCCCCCCCCTCCCCGGGTCCCTTTTCTCTGTTTGTCACTCATCTCATAATCGCTGCCGTCCCTGGAGTTATTCTCGGATAACATGTTCTCTCTCTCCAAAACAGTGCATGGCTCATTCCTGGTACATGGCCAACGATATGCAGTTCTACATTCTGGCGCCGCTTATGATCGTGCCCTTTTATTTGTGAGTACCCTGTCAACATTATATTCTACTGAATTTTAATATACTGTTCGACATGCTCTTTTTTCATGTACGGTTATGATTCTTTCGCTGGTTATATGTCATTGTGGGGTAAGTTTAAAAAAAAAAAAAGTGAAGGATCCTTTCCCCGCTAAAACTATATTTTATAGACGAATCGACACTTGGTGTGTGATTCGGTCAGAGTCACGCCCACCGGCTTTTACTTTCCTGGACTGCATCTGGTACCTATTCAAGTGGGGTGAGGATGTATTTACAACGCGTCATCCAGTTTTACTTGTTAAAAAAAAGGGGGGGGGGGGGGGGGGGGGTACAATGCAAGTATACATATGAATGGAACGGTGAATGCACTTGCGCCTCATATTTCGTGGCCTGGAGTATGTTACATCTGTTAGTCCCTGGCGGGCGCGCCGCTATTAAGAAAATATTGGAGGGTTATAGAATATCATCTCAGCCGCCAGCGGACTCTTTGCTTCTACCACCACCAGCATGACAATGGTGGTCATGGCTTTGACAAAGGCCCTAGAATGGCTGAAAACTCAGGAGATCACCAATGTACTTTTGCACAGCGACTCAATGAGCATGCTACAGGAGATTAAGACTAGCTACATACGGAAACAGTGGCTCCATCTGATACAGCACGCAGCTTTTCGCTAAAAATCACCTTCATTTTTGTCCCAGGTTATGCTGGTGTGAAAGGTAACAAGAGAGCAGACGCTCGGGCTGGCAGTGTGACTATTAGGAATGGGCTCTCTTTGGATAAAAGAGACAATAGGAATAAACTCACAGGGAGCAAGTACAGCAGGGATCTACCAGTCGTCAGTAGAAATTATCCTCGTCAACGAGCGTTTCGGCCCACTATTCCTAGACGCTTTCGGAGGTGGGCCCACCTGAGTTCATGAAGCTCAGGGCTGGTTCCCTGCTGCACGAAATTACCGGATGGTGTTTTTCTTTCGGCCAGAGACAAGACGACTTGGTGGTTTGCAGAAGGTACTGTGAGATAAGAAGTCGCCGCGCCAGCCTAATTAAAGCAGTCAGCGTGCCTGGACGACCGAGCGACAAGCTTACGATTGGTTTACCGGACACATGTTGGACTTTTGTTAGCAGGTGGCAGAGGAACACTGGCAGACAATTCGGACACGATGGACTTTCGAAGGGTGAGAAACCCTTTTCCGCTAGACACCCGGACCAGCTCACCGAGGCCGGTCCCCTGCGTTGTTGCGTTGCGTCCAAAGCCAGCTACCTCTCCCAGTTTTTTGAGTGACATAATCAATACCATTCGAAAGACTAAACGCTGTTTTACTGGAAACTAATTTTTGTAACTGACAAAACTGCATACACAGGGTGTACCGGTTAAAGTGGCGAGACAGGAAAACCATACGGGAGCCACCTGTTTTTGCATCAACCTGAACAGAATGAAAGTTGTTAACTTCAAAACACTTGGAGACATACTTAGAAGGAGATCGGAGCAATTATGGTCAAGTCGGATGTGCGATGAAGATGATCTCTAAAAAGAACAATAAACAATAAACCTCAGTCTCTTTCATTATTACAGGCTGAAGGTTGTAGGGGCTTAAGCCTTGTTTAATCACTCAATAATAATAATAATAATGATTATTAATAATATTTTTTATTAAAGGTTAGTTGCGTATCCTTTACAGGACCTTGCAGAACCAACCCCAAAAGTCCCTAGCTGTTGTGTGTTTTTTTTAGGCAAATTTACGTCCAACGTCCAGTAGTTTGACATTGCTTTCTGGACGGTCGGCTTTCTTGATACCACTGTCGAGGCCAACGCACGGCGCATGGCCCGCAACTGGGATCGAACCCGGCATTCCAGCATTACGAAGCGTTCGCATCTACTTAGCCATAGAACCGACAATATTATTATTACTGTGACTAAATGACAAGGTAAATATGAACATAAACACTAATAATACAAAATATATGAACTGATGTGTAAAAAACAAAAGGGCGTCTGACAGTGGAGAGGGGGGAGGCGGGCGGTACGAGGTTCTCTGCTCCCTAAACATTATTTAGGACTGGCGAGGGCTCCGTTCCCCGCGTACTCCTCACACACACATACACACACACAAATTGGGAAAGGGCGCCTCAATGTGACTGACCCCCCATGGTTTTAGCGCCTATTTTTCGGGGAGGGGGGAAGGTATCCGCAGCTGTCCGGGTATCATGACGAATCACTCAAGTGTGACATTTTTTTGTAGAATGTAAAGGGTAACTTAAATGAAACAATGAAATCTCCAGCATTGATCCAGTCCACTCCTACAGACCACACAGTAAGAATCTCAGCACAAGCACAAACCCCGTTGCTCTAGCGAGGATCCAAATATATGTTACTTTTCTTAAGATTCTTCCCATCGCCGACAGGGACCTCTGAAGCGATGCTTGCCACTCTGCACGGATCATGCCTGTCTCCACTTTATCAACATACTCTGAGAGTCAGTTGCAGTTACGACATGTGTGTGCAGCTGATTCTCAATCTACTGGAAAGCAGCAGGGAAATCGAAACAAAATAATGAAATGTTTACGACGAATCCTAGGTGTACTAGAAAGGACAGCATAAATGACGATGTCGAGAAAGACTTTGGGACGGAACCAGTACTTAACTACATCAAATACAACAGATCGAATGGTTCGGACATGTGTCAAGAGCACCATTTCGGACATGTGTCAAGAGTACCATTTCGGACATGTGTCAAGAGCACCATTTCGGACATGTGTCAAGAGTACCATTTCGGACATGTGTCAAGAGCACCATTTCGGACATGTGTCAAGAGTACCATTTCGGACATGTGTCAAGAGTACCATTTCGGACATGTGTCAAGAGTACCATTTCAGACATGGGTCAAGAGCACCATTTCGGACATGTGTCAAGAGCACCATTTCGGACATGTGTCAAGAGCACCATTTCAGACATGTGTCAAGAGCACCATTTCAGACATGTGTTAAGAGCACCATTTCAAGCATGTGTCAAGAGCACCATTTCGGACATTTGTCAAGAGCACCATTTCAAGCATGTGTCAAGAGCACCATTTCGGACATGTGTCAAGAGCACCATTTCGGACATGTGTCAAGAGCACCATTTCGGACATGTGTCAAGAGCACCATTTCGGACATGTGTCAAGATCACCATTTCGGACATGTGTCAAGAGCACCATTTCGGACAAGTGTCAAGAGCACCATTTCAGACATGTGTCAAGAGCACCATTTCAGACATGTGTCAAGAGCACCATTTCGGACATGTGTCAAGAGCACAATTTCGGACATTTGTCAAGAGCACCATTTCAGACATGTGTCAAGAGCACCATTTCGGTCACGTGTGAAGAGCACCATTTCGGACATGTGTCAAGAAAACCACCAGATGCATCATGGAGAGATCTGTCACTTAGTCATAACAGAAGTAGGTCTAGAGGTTGACCACGCAAGCGATGGATAGATGGAATATGCGAAGCTGCAGTATACCAGTATCTATGTAGCACATACCAAGGCTGGCACCCAATGCTTCTTCAGGATCTGGCACTGAAATACAGAACAGGGCTACAGGAGGAGGAAGAGTAGGAGATGGATTCTCACTTGTTGTTGCCAGCTGTCTTAGCGTTATCTTGTCTAAATATGGCTAGGTTACTTTATGAGGGTTTAGATGTGGTGTTAGCTTTCTAGAATCAAATCAACAGCATAGCAGAACAGATAGTTTATCTAGATCCGGGGATTCTAATCCGGCGCGGGTGAGTAAATGCTCTGGACGACATCCGACGCTCAAGTACAACTGATGTAGTGCATCAGATTCAGTTTGGCAGCTTTTGCTTGACTATTGAGGAAAGGGCACAGCATGTTAGAGAATGACCCGAGTGCAGACATGCTTACTTATACTGAGAGGCGGTACAGAACCAATACTGAACTTTATAGGTAGAAAAAAATTAAATGGTTTGATATCAGACAGGGCACCACAGAGAGCAATGTTATACAGATTTAACCGTATCAGATCAGATGTCGACCTCGCAGTATATGGACCGCAGAAATATCAGAGACACAGACAAGTACTTTATATGAAACAAACAGAAGGGTCCTTTCCAAAGATCTATTCCTGTCCTGATGCTTCGAGGCATTCCAGGAGTAGAGGAAAGAAGAAGAACAAGAAGATTAATTACAGCATTCATTCATGCATTTGTTCACGCGTTCATTCATCTTATCACTGATTCTATCATGTTTACGACTGTGTTTTAATATATCTGTTGTAGCAACGTGTTTGCCGGTTTAGCAAGTTGTTCTGTTTTTCTGCTGACAAGTTGGATCACCACCGGAGTCCTCTCAACAGACAACCAGTGGCCCAACAGTCTCCTCAACGGAGCTGTCCCAGTGTAAGTCTGTCACTCAGCTCCACACCCGACTTTAGTCTAATGACTGTTCAACCTCTTTTATTATTCATTATTCCAACATCCGTAATATTAATAATAATAATAATAATAATAATAATAATAATAATAATAACAATAATAATAATGAAGAAGAAGAGAAGAAGAAGAAGAAGAAGAAGAAGAAGAAGAAGAAGAAGAAGAAGAAGAAGAAGAAGAAGAAGAAGAAGAAGAAGAAGAAGAAGAAGAAGAAGAAGAAGCAGTAGAAGCAGCAACAGTAGCAGCAGCAGTAGAAGCAGCAGCAGAAGATAAAGCAGCACAGAAGAACAAGCAGCAGAAGAAGCAGCAAGAGAGGAAGGAGAAAAAGGAGACGGAGAAGATGAGAAGGAGGAGAATGAGGAGGAGGAGCAGACGGAAGAGGAGCAGACGGAGGAGGATGACAGTATTTAAACTGATGTTGTCATGTGTTTTGCAGGCCAGGAACCCTTGACTACATGAGTCACTACTACTTCGCCCCTTACTGCAGAATAGGCCCGTTTGTGATAGGTATCCTGGCAGGATATCTACTGGCTGTAACGAAAGGCCGCATACATATGAAATGGGTAACTGCTTGTATCTTGACTTTTGTGCTTCATGTCTTTTAACGCTTTCAGTACCGAGAAACTCACTGCGCGTTTACTGGTTTTTCTTTACAAGATACGCTTCAATTATTTCTTTATTCATCGTTTAGCCGGAAAATTATCCCATTGTTGATTGATAAGAACTTTCATCGTAGTCTGTTTTTTTCATTGCAGTTAAAGAGAATATTGCTACGTTTATTTCTAGGCCGCAATGGCTGGGGGTTTCGTATAACTGTCGAACTTGTAATTAACCCATTCACACAGAGGACCTAGAAAAAAAAACGGAGAGAGAGAGAGAGAGAGAGAGGGGGGGGGGGGGTTTAAAGTGACTTGCTTAGGATGTCTCCTTTTCACCTCAAGATATTTTGGACGGGTGGGCGGACAGACGGACAGACGGACAGACGGACAGACGGACAGACGGACAGACGGACAGACAGACAGACAGACAGACAGACAGACAGACAGACAGACAGACAGACAGACAGACAGACAGACAGACAGACAGACAGACAGACAGACAGACAGACAGACAGACAGACTGACAGACTGACAGACAGACAGACAGGTGAGCAGGCAGGTGAGTGGACAGGCATGACATTTAAAACGAAGAAACATATAACCTTACCCAGATCTGCCATATGTCCTTCAGTATGTAATGTAAACTGAAACAATCCTCAGTTCTACGTTGTCACCGGGTGGGCGGTGGCCATTGCTGTGGGGCTGGCTTGTGTTTACGGTATCCATGGAGATATTACCAAAGAAAACGTCAGCACGGTGCAAATGGCCGCCTTCTATAACACAGTTGCCAGGTCGGCGTGGGGTGCTTGCATATGTTGGGTCATCGTCGCCTGCGTCACCGGATATGGCGGTAAGTATCTGAGAATAGATGACTAAACTTTAAACTCTGACTGGATCAGATACACTGTCGAAACCTCCAGTCAGATACACTGTCGAAACCTCCAGTCAGATACACTGTCGAAACCTCCAGTCAGATACACTGTCGAAACCTCCAGTCAGATACACTGTCGAACCCTCCAGTCAGATACACTGTCGAAACCTCCAGTCAGATACACTGTCGAAACCTCCAGTCAGATACACTGTCGAAACCTCCAGTCAGATACACTGTCGAACCCTCCAGTCAGATACACTGTCGAAACCTCCAGTCAGATACACTGTCGAAACCTCCGTTTTAACACCGCATGGCACTGGTTCCCACAACCAAATGGAGTCGTGTGAGGTTTCTGGGGGTCTTCGGGCACTAATGAGCTACGTCCAGGGCTTCTGAAGTTAGTACTTTCGTACAAAATTGATACTCTTTGGTCCTTCATGAGTAAAACTTCTTTTGGTACTACGTCCGATATTTTGGTATATTTTATGTTCGAAATGGAAATCCCAGCACTAGGGACATTCCCTAAGCTATCTATTCCCAGATCTTCAGCAACGCGCGAAGAGTTCCAATTCCGATGGTACCAGCTGGATATGTTGGTATGTCTTAGAAATGTCACAGTAATATTTGAAATGTTGCCACTGTTTGTTAGATCAAGTAAGTGTTACTGAAAGAAGAACAGGGTTAATTATGTCACTGGTCATTAAAACATCCAGCTTTGTGAAGAAAGAACATAATGAACAAATAAAGAAAGAATGGATCGAACTAACAGTGGAAGATCAACCATCAGATGCTGACAAAATACCAGAAATATTTTGGTTAACAACTTCAGACGCGGGTCGTGGGTTCGCTCCCTGGCGGAGCCGGACTTTTTTTCAAAAATGACCTTGGCTCCCAGGTCGACCCAGCCTTGAGTTGGTACCGGGTGCAGTCCCGGGAAGTAGAGGCGGCCGGCGTGATGCTGACCACATCGCTCATCTTGTGCCGATTTGTCTATACAAATATAGGTCTGGCCCTATATGCCCTATACAAGGCGGGGGAAAGGGTCCTTTACTTACTACTTTGTTTACAACTTCAGAAGAAACATGAGGAAATGAAAGTCACTTTCCATTAGTATAAAAATGTATGATTCATCATCATCAGTTTCCACTTCTACAGTTAAGTGTTGTGGGGAGGAACAGTTTGCGATCCATTGCTTACTAAATGACCAATCTTACTTTTTTTTTAAAATATCCAGAAACCATGAGTTGTTAACCCTTTGGTTCAGTACTATGGATATCGCAACCCTTCGGCCTTGATTCCATGATAGGAACCGTAAATCTGGGGGAAATGTGGCTTTTCTACCTATCCCCCGGGAGTGAACCCAGACCACAAGGAGTTCGTCACCTGGTCACCGCGAAGTCAGGTTTAACCAACTACGCTAGAGAGCCGGGCACCAATCTGACTAAATGACCAAATGATTTGGTCTTCTGTTTTTCAATGAATTTGCTGCATAGTAATGTCCCTACAGTCTGTCGGATAACATTTTAAATTTTGTCTCGGATGTTTAAATCTGCAGCTTTTCTCAGGCATCTCATGTCACATGTGTTGATTTTACGTAGGTTAGCCTTTGATAATGTCCAAGTTTGGCCCTAACAGCACAGTGTTGGTATTAGTATGATGTTTATTATCTGTTTCTAGGCGCTCATACTTATCTCTTTTTCTTTGCATTCACCAGCTGTACACTCTGGAGGAAAGTTCTAGTCCACTTCCGGACTGCAGTCCTGTTCCAGAACCTGAGTGTTGCGTGTGCATCCATTTGACAGATCTGACACATTTAAGTGTAGACTGTTGGTTTCTTGCCTCTCGGGTAGATGCACTCCGACTTCGAAGGAAGCTCCCAATTAGTCGACTCTTACGACATGCTTTTGGGCAGGCAGTGGGTCTATTCTTGTTTTCCTTAATAGGGCCCCCGAACCCACACAGGGAGCTCATACTTATGTTTGGATGTCTTAATAACAATGTCAGTTGGTATTTAAGTGCAGTGGCTCTCTGCCATCTTCTTTCTATTTATCGACCTAGTCTCTCGTTCTCCGTGAATACATTTCCTAGATATTAAAATTCTTTAACTTGCTTCAGAAAAGTACCATTCAACCCTGTATGTAGCGGACTAGGAATTCTGCTGTCCTACAATACTTCATTTTTAGCAGTATTTATGTTCCTCTTATATCTTTTGCATGTTGAACTTAGCCTTTTCAAATGTTCTTGCAGTCTACCAACCTCATTGTAGAACAGGCACTGATCGTCTGCAAATAGTGCCTCCTGTGGATCGAAGTCTTCCTCTGGAAAGTAAAGTTCCTCATTTTATGGGTCGACTACTTTAACGCTGGCTTCATTTGATATTCTTTCTGTGTATATAGTAAACACGAGAGGAGAAAGTACACATCCCTGCATCACCCCTGTATTGGTTGTAAACATATCAGATATGCCTTCTTGTGTTCTCAATGCGCTTTTGAAAGTGTGGTACATTGCCACGATGATATCTAGCAATTGTCCTTCATCCGATAATTCTCAATAATAGCCCACGGTTTTCTTCCGTAAACTCTATCAAAAGATTTTTCTTGATCTACGAACACAAAATTCAGTTCATCGCCATATGCAATGGTTTTCTCGCTTACTTGTCTTGGTGTAAATAACGCATCTTAGCAAGCTTTTCTTTTCCTGGACTCAAATTGTGATGTGCTTAGGTGATGTTCCGCTTTAGGTCTAACTCTGTTCTAAAAACTTTGCATGAATTTTCCCTTTGTGGCTCAAGAGTGATATACCCCTGTACGATATTCAGTCTCTTGTATTATCAATGCAACAAAACATTTATGATTCGTCTGCTAAAATTACCTCAGACCTCTAGATCTGCAGAAAGAGTTTCTGCTCTGCTTAACGATACTGAGATTATTTTTTATTAAATCGCTTTTTCTTGACTACTTACTTCAACAAAAAATGAAGATATTACACCAGGACTTAAACTGCATCAACTGGAAGCCGACACAACAGATTTGAATATATGTAAGACAGCTTGTGTATGTGTGTGTGTGTGAGAGAGAGAGAGAGAGAGAGAGAGAGAGCGAGAGAGAGAGAGTGTGTGTGTATTACATTAAAAGAGGACGGTGTGGCTTTTCCATCTTGTAAGAATGGGGCCAACTAACTGTAAACGAAACCTTCTATCGCAGAACATCTGGGCGAAAGAAGAGAGGAAGACCAATAAAGCGACAGGTATACAACGTAAGTGAAGCCTTAAAAAGGATGAACAAAACCACCAGGCCAGCTTCCAAATAAGCTGACAAATACACAAAACAACGACTTTGGGCTACAAATGGTCACATGAGAAAGAACGACATACGATTGGGTAGGGAGGTGAAAGTGAATCAAGGACAGTTGGTAGATAGTGAACAATTATTTGGAAGCTGATAAGATGTGGTTTTATAGACGAATGATGAGAATACCCTGGACAGATAAAAAAAGAGTAATGAGGATGTCTTGAATGTCACTCATGAAGAGAACTGATTGCCACATAATAAAAAGACAATCTACATTCTTTGGTCACGTGATGAGATGGAGAAAACTGGAGTAAATCGTGACAGTATGAAAGTTGGAGGAAAGGAAAGGCAGAGAGGGGCTGAGAGAAAAGTCAGTTGACATCATGGCATGGAGAATCACCTGTGTCAGAGTTGATTGAAAGTACATGAGACAGAAGATTATGAATAGACACGACTACCAACGTCACACGGCATGTAAGACGAAGAAGACGGCAGGTAGAGCGAACGAGATATTGAATATGCTGATTCATTGCCATATGACAAGTGCAATCACCACGAACTGTGCAGGTTAAGATTGTATTATATTTTTCAAAGGATAGTTGAAGTTGGAAGCTGGTTCGCCTATGCTTCATTGTGGAAGATAGAAGTGATAAGAACAGACGGACATGCGACAATAACAAAGTATCTGAAATGGTGATAGTTTTACAAATCTGTCTTACAGGTCCAGTCAATGCTCTTTTGTCCTGGTCCCCGTTTGTGTTTCTGGGCCGTCTGACCTATATGTCGTATCTGATCCACCCTACTGTCATCTACGTCTACACGCAAAATATGGACCAGTTATACTACCTCAACGACACAAATATGGTAAGCCTGTCGTGTTTAGACTTATTGTAAAAGACATTATTGCGACTAGAAACATGGTGGTGGTAGTGGTGGTGGTGGTAGTAGTAGTAGTAGTAGCAGCAGTAGTAGTAATAGTAGTAGTAGATTAGCAGTAGCAGCACAGCAGCAGTAACTTTTGTTTTTGTTGCTGTTGTTGGAACAGGAACTACCGAATAGAAACAACAACAGTGATAGTTGTTGTGGAGATAATAGCAGTATCGGCAGCAGAAGTCGTAGCAGGAGCAGCAGTAGTGGTAACAGTAGTGGTGGTAGTAGTAGAAGTAGTAGTACCAGCAGCAGTAGCTGTAATACCAATATAATTATTTGAAACCCTGAGATGTCTGTCCCATTCATCTAAACACAGCAGTGTTCTGGAGTCTCAGTTGTTCTATGGTAGGATACTGTGGCACAAATGCCATCGTCATGTGCAATACAAATTCTTTACCAAAAAACACACCCTTCTTCCGATGCCTGGTCTGAAGCAGGTATCGGTTTCCACGACCTTCCAGCCAGTCTTCACATCTGTTCATGTTTGTTGACTATGCTGCAGTGACAGTGTGTGCTAATCGGTCGCGGTAGAGGTTTTTAGGTTACATTGATCAACATCATGGCACTACCCCATAAGTGCTCCGTTCTTCTTCTAACTCGTGTCTTGAGTCCGAAGAAGCTCAGCACAGTCCACAGGCTATGTAGCACCAGCGAGAATCCTGAAATACTTTGGGTACATTTTTAACTACAAAATTGTTCCCGATGCTTTTTGATTTCCAACTACCAAGGGATTTTTTTCGTGCGCAACAATGCACACTAACGTTTCATCTCACTACCCAGAGACCAGGAGGAATTACTAGAAGTCAAAGATTGAACCCGGAACCTCTAGCACCCGAGGCGGACACCATGCTTTGAGAACACGCAGACCCCTCCATAAGGAAGCAGGATAACAACACTTTAAATCTACAATGCATATCCCTAGTGCGACTTATAGTGTAGGTGTGAAGCTGGCAACCTCAGTCCCTAAAATACGTTCATTGCGAGTCCAGTCAATTTTGAACACATCTACAAAGCTGGTGTGGGCGTCTGTGGCTTAGGCGTTGCGAACGCTTCGTAGTGCCGGGGTACCCGGTTCGATCCCAGCTACGGGCCTTGCGTAGGTTTTGCAAAGGTATCAAGAAGCCGGCCGTTCAATAACAATGGCAAACTACCGGACGTAAACCTTCCTAGAAAACCCATAACAGCCAAATAATGCTTGGGTCGGTTCTGCAGCGTCCTGTAAAGGATACGCAACTAACTAACAACGCTGTTGGTGTGCTTATGCCGTGTACACATCAAATAGGATTAGCAGCCAACCCCTCCTATCCGTTCAAATGCGTCGGAACATAGGGTGTCAGGCCTCTTGAACCCTTCTCAGAATTATAAGGAGGGGGGGGGGGGGGGAACCAGTAGATTAGAGGATATGGCTTAGCATGGGCCATGGACCAGGAAAAATCATAACTCCCACATGCTACAGGGTCTGAGCATCGAAGACAATTGGCTCATAAACAACATCCTGTACTAAAAGCTGAAGTATTCTGGCCATATTAAACGTCGTGGTGGTCTGGTGAGAACGGCGATGGAATGTAGTTACGGAAAACGAGGGAGATGCAGACTCCCCCCCCCCCCCCTCTCCAGAATAAGGACATAAAACATTGAAGATGCATTGGCTATAAAGCACATTGGGCAGGAGAATTGGCTGCAGAAAGGGGGAATGTCAGGTGTGCCGTGAGGAGATCGACGTTCTGTAAAGTACCTGCTGAATGATGACTATGACCGGGGCTAGCAGTCGCTTTCATCAATCTAAAAAAAATGTCTGTATAGTTGTTGTTTATTTCATATTTTTCAAGTATATTACTATATTTATTCGCTACTCAATACTGTATTATTATTATGCTATTATTAAGCCTCCCGAAGGTCCCTTCCCATTGCACAGAAAATTTGTAACATGGAGAGAAAAAAACGGGGGGTGGGGGCTGCCCCTATCTTCCAATAAATGCTTGATCTCGGCGTTGCTGGCTCCATCATATGCACTTTGTCGATACAGTGGTACCTCGACTTACAAACTGCTCACATGTGAACATTTCGAGATTTGAAAAACAGTCAAGAACGCATTAGGTTCGTAAGTCAAGGTAACATTGCATTGTGATGGAGTTCAGCCGCCACCTCTGGCTTCTCACATCAACGTTCTCCGTAGGGTTTCTCTTGGACACCTTCGCTGCCTGAATTGCTTCTATTCAGCCTGTCAGTCGTCTGATTTTTCCTCAGACTATTCCAAATATTTCATCACCTTCTTTCTTTTATAATACAATGCAGACTGATCTCTGATATGGAACATTTCTTTTGTGAAGAAGAATTATGTTTATCACCAGGCAAATTTGGGAGTCGCTGTGGCCGAGCGGCTAGACGCTCGCCGCGGATCAGAAGGTCATGGGTTCACTCCCTGGCAGAGCTTGATTAATTTTCAAAAATGACCTTGACTCTCAGGTCAACCCAGCCTTGAGTGGGTACCGGGTGCAGCCCCAGGAAGAAAAGGTGGCCGGCGTGATGCTGACCACAACACCCATCATGTGCCGATTGGTCTATGAAAATATAGGTCTAGCCCTATATGCCCTTTCGCCTAAAGGCGTGGAAAAGGGTCCTTTACTTTTTTTTTTTTTTAACCAGGCAAATTTTATTTTTTCATGAACTCTTGTGGACAAGATGATTTTTTTTTTAGAACCATTTCTTGGGTTCCCAGTGAGTTCTCCTTATCAGATCTGCATTGTAGTGGGTATGAGCAGATGTACATACATTTCTTCGCTTTTCTCGAGTCTACCTCATGTAGCAAAAACTTCTTCTTCCTCATTAACCGGCTGTAAACTGCAGTGGAAAGTTAAAGATTCTTCGTCCGTCTCCCGACTTTAGTTTTGTTCTAGAATCTGAGTGCTGCGTGTACATCCGTTTTCAAATTTGGCTTACTTGTGTGCAGACTCTTGGTTTCTTGCCTCTTAGACAGATGCACTTCGACTTCGAAGGATGCCCCCAATTAGTGGACTCCTATGATATGCTTGCTGGGCAGACAGGGGGTCTATTCTTGTTTTCCCCACAATGAGACCCCAGAACCCATACGTGGAGTAAAGCACACACAAAAACACACAGAGTTAAAACAAACTGCTATTTGTCATGTGTTGCTGTTAATGGTTATATCTACAGGTGATTACATATCTGGGAATCCTCTTCTTCACCAATATGGCAGCCTTCGTTCTTGTCCTGGGGTTCGAATCGCCAATGATCGGCTTAGAAAAAATCTTCCTGTCACGACATTAGACATCAACCCAAGAAAGACTGCCAGACAGCTTACTATAGATAAAATTAGACCAAGATTTCATGTATTGACAGACTACAGATATAAGAAATAAATCAAAGTGTTGGTGATCTAAGAACTGCTTGTCCGACAACTTTATGAAGACAGGATGAAGTCATATTTCTAACATTCACAGACCAAAAACTTCAGAAGTAAATCAAGGTGAGGACTGACAGACAGTTTGATTAACTGAAACTAGGAATGGACTAATTCAGTCATAGACTAATTCAGTCATAGACTAGACTAATTCAGTCATAGACTAGACTAATTCAGTCATAGACTAGATTAATTCAGTCATAGACTAGACTAATTCAGTCATAGACTAGATTAATTCAGTCATAGACTAGACTAATTCAGTCATAGACTAGATTAATTCAGTCATAGACTAGACTAATTCAGTCATAGACTAGATTAATTCAGTCATAGACTAGACTAATTCAGTCATAGACTAGACTAATTCAGTCATAGACTAGATAACAACTTAAGAATGGCCTGTGAGACAGCTACCTGAACACAAGATGAGACCAAAATTTCAAACATTCACAGACTTTAGAGCTCAGAAGTAAATCAAAGTGTGGCCTGGCAGAGACTTGATAAAGTAAAACAAGACTAAGACTTCAACCACAGACTATCGTGCAGAAATTAGATATAAATCTGAGAATAGTCTATCAAACAGTTTGAAGGAAAAAGACGAGAGCTTGAATTCCAACATTTAAAGAAAGGGCCACAAAGAAATCCTTGAGATGGGAATGTTCAGCCTCATATCATTTTCAAGCGAGCTGAGGCTTCAGGGGATGAAAGCTTTGTTTTAGTGTGCAATAATACAAAGTTAAGGTGGCTAGCATGATGATGACCACATCATCCATCCGGTTCCTGTTTGGTCTATAAAACAATGGTTCTAGCTTTATATGCCCATTTTGCCAAGAGTCCACTGCTTTTTTCTGACCAGAATGGAAAGACGCTTATGAGAGACAGCATGGTATCACTACTGGGTGATAGTCTGTGTATGTGTGTATGTAAAACTGGAATCAATAAACACAGGGAACATGTCTATAACAAACATCACCTATTGAGTTCATTTGTTTATAAAATATGTGGCTAGCTTTATATACTGTAAATGTGAAGAATCACTGACCAACCTTCCATTAATCGCTTTTCTGAGTACCTCGCCATCACAACTCCACGCTGGTCAACATACATAAAGTCACCCCAGCACCTTCTGTAACACTTAAGGATGTCCCGTCAACCAGCGTGCCAGACAGCCGCAACTGTGCCGAACCCAACACACATGGGCTGTACAACCGCCTATTCTAGAAATTACACTGACAGAATTTCAGTCCAACTCATGAGACCACAGTTATCCAGACAGTTCACACAAGTTCCAACAGAATAAAAATGCACTGTTAAAACTGCCACACCAAGTCCGTGTGTCCACAGGACTTGAACAATTTGAGCACATATCCCCATACTTAGACTGACTGAAAGCTAACTGACTAAAGCTACCACAGGATGTTTTCCATATGCAGTCAATTCCGCATAGACCTCACTTTCTTGCCAAAACCCATGGTGTTTGTAATCACCCAAAATATTTTTAAAATATTTTTTCTTTTCTTCATATGCACACACATAACAAATGTGGATTAATTTATAGACATGGAAAGACTGGGCTGAACCATGCAAGTTAAAACAAGGTTCAGATATGAACTAGCTTACTTGAACTACACAAGTTGAAACAAGGTTCAGATATGAACTAGCTTACTTGAACTACACAAGTTAAAACAAGGTTCAGAAATGAACTAGCTTACTTGAACTACACAAGTTAAAGCAAGGTTCAGAAATGAACTAGCTTACTTCAACTACACAAGTTGAAACAAGGTTCAAATATGAACTAGCTTACTTGAACTACACAAGTTGAAACAATTAAAAAAAAACTATTTATAAAAATAAACCAACAAAATCAATCCTTTAAAAAAAAATGTGTGTCACACAAAGAAACAATAAACAATACAAAGTGACACCAACAATTTATTATGAATTGTTAATCATCGATTTGTTATCACCAACTGTTAATAACCATCAATTTATTATCATAAATTGTTAATCGTCAATTTACTAACATGCAGCGACAATTAGAGCTGTGACAAGAGTAATTATTATTGTGGTTAGCTGTTCAAAACCCTGCTGTGGTTTCAATGCTCCATAGTGGACAGATCTGGTTTTTTCCTGCTTAATAATTTCAAATCCAGTCAGTTCTGCTTAATTAAGCACTTTATTCTTTTTCTCTTCGGTGTTCACCAGACCAGATGTCAATTTTTGCAGAAAATTCAGCTCTGTACAACCCTTTCAGCAGGGGGGGGGGGGGGGGGGGGGGGGGGGGGGGGAGAAGAGGGGGGGGGGGGGCTATCTGTTCTGCGGAGAGAGAGAGAGAGAGAGAGAGAGAGAGAGAGAGAGAGAGAGAGAGAGAGAGAGAGAGAGAGAGAGAGAGAGAGAGAGACCATGGTGTAAACCCGGTGCAATGAAGCGGATCCTCTCGACTTTAACTTGATGACCCGGTGATCATATGGTTGATCCATCAAAAAAAATAGGAGTTTAAAAAAAAAAAAACTAGGATCCCATGTCAAACAAACCAAAAAAAATTAATCCCAGGAAAATAATCTAGAAAGTAAGAGGGACCAGTGTTATATTCATCACACTACACCCACAAACGGTTGATAAAAATAAAGCACTATATATAAAATTTGCATCATGACATCTTTTACAATTTCGCCTCCAATTAAAAAAACATGGTGAAATTGGCATAGACAACACAAACCAACCAAATATGAATAAAGTGTGTATAAGGAAATCAACAAATAAATAAAATCTACAATCGAAACAAGCATTTGTAACATGATTGTAACTCAGTAAGTACAAAGCAGTTTCTCCTTTGAAATGGCACAATATACTTTTGTCACTCTTATGACATATAAGGCGGCCGCTATGGTGCAACGGCTAGATGCTCGCCTGAGGATCCAAAGGTTGTGGGCGTCAAATCCAGAGCTGAAACTTTTTCAAAAATGATCTTGGCTAACAGGTCGACCTAGCCTTAAATAGGTACCAGGTAAAGTCTTGAAAGTAAAGGCGGTTTGTGTTATGTTGACCACATCACACACCTAGTGCCTACTGGCCTATAAATTATAAATCTAGCATTAAAATCCCAATACGCTTGAAGTCATGGAAAAGGGTCCTCGACTTTATGACCCATCCATTTGTTACACAAACCCACTCTGCTTCAGTTTTACTTTACTCTTCAGTGTTTTCTGCATCATGGCATCTCTGTTGTAACTCCTGAGATCCTAACCTTCCTTAGCCTTTTTGCGTTAGCGCAGTCGATAGGAGACTCACTTTCAAATCCAGCTGTGACTTGCTGTAGCCCACGGCTTGTGTTTGAAAGGGGGCGGTTAAAGAGTTAACACTCTGGGGTAAATGGAGGAACGTCGCTGCAGCTACGAAGTTTCGTGCAGACAGTTTCTTATCAGCCGTCCGTACTGGTGGCAGAGCACTTATGGTTTATAACAATGTGCATTCACGCTAGTTCACATATCCTGACTTTACCTTTACCTTTGACCCCTGAAGCTGCTGGGTGGTAAAGCCATGAACCTAGGAATTCCTTAAAAATTCTTTTAATAAACATTTCACACAGTGCACTAATAAATGTTTAAAAGTGGTTGATGTACATTATTTTAAACAGAAATATATGATGGACACAAATCAATAAAAACACAAGGAGAGTGAAAAATTAAACGGATCACATTTCCTTGGGCCTCAAGAAACAGTCATAAGATGCTCCTTCTAACCAATGCACAGATGTAAACAGAACCAATGCCATTAACTAGGTATGCCAGTTCAACTGCTTTTGTGGGGATTTGTATGTAACGGCGATGCTGGAACAACGACATTTCAGGTTAAAGTAAATATTTTTTTTAAAAGAAGGAGTTAAAGTATCATCTGTTTAGTAATGAAAGAGTTAAACTAACAGTATATTATATGTTATATGTACAATTAAAAGGGGAGTCTCCGCGGCAGAGCGGCTAGATGTGCGCCGCGGACTGAACGGTCGTGGCTTCGCTCCTTGGCAGAGCCGGACTTTTCTTCAAAAATTACCTTGGCCCCCAGGTGGACCCAACCTTGAGTAGGTACCGGATGCAGACTCGGGAAGTAAAGCGGCTGGCGTGATGCTGACCACATCACCCATCTTGAGCCGCTGGTTTATAAAATATAGGTCTAGCCCTATACGCCTAAGGGCATGGAAAAGGGTCCTTTACTTACTTACTTTATTTGTACAAATAAAAGAAAAGAATATAAAAGTTTACAAACCTATTCTATATGATCATTCACCTTAAGTGAATTCTAAGGTTTTAGACAAATCAAAATTGTCGGTAAAAAAAAAAGCAATCAAAACAACACACAGGTATCATGAGCAAGTAGTTATCTGAAAGACACAGAGTCAAATATGGAGAAAAGTTGAGTCAGATACTGAGGAAGGTTATGTCAGACATGCAGATATGGAGAAAGGTTCTCAACCCTTTTTCTTTCTGCTTATTTTACAAGAAAGTCAACATAGCGAGTGAGAGAACTACATACTTAAGACACTTACTTACAAAAGAGTTAACTTTTATAAGGGCAACATAACATTTTACAGCCAACCTTTACTTGTTCCTTGCAGTCACTGGCTGTAAATTCTGCAGATAATTCTGGTTGTTTGTCCACTTCTGGACTTTAGTCTTATTCCAGAGTTGTGTGTGCATATCTGTTTTACAGATATAGCTGATTTATATGCAGACTAGTGGCTCTTTACCTTTGAGACTGATGTACTCTAACTTTGAAGAAAACCCCTATCAGCTGACTGAATCTTATGATAAACTTACTTGTTGGAGAAGCAGTGGCTTTCCTCTTATTTTCTCTCCCACAATCTTCTTCTTTTCTCTCCTCCTGGAATGCCTCGTGGCGTCAGGGCAGGAAGAGATCTCTGAAGCGGACCTTTCAGTTGGCTTTGTATAAAGTACTTTTCAGCGTCTCTGTTATTTCTGCGCAGTCCATCTCAGGTTCTGTTATGTACATGTATAACAGTGCTCTCTGTGGTTCCCTGTCTGATGCCAATCTTGTTATATGGCCAAACCATTTCATTTGCTGCCTAAGTAAAAAGTTCAGTACTGGTTCTGTGCCGACTCTCCTGATATCATCGCTCTTAAGTTGATCTTTCCTCGTACACCTAGCACAGTACGTAAACATGGGGGCCTTGAAACCCACTCTGGGATTATTTATAATCACACAAAAATCAGAATGAACAGCGCTGCCTACATGATGCCACCAGGGATCTTTCTATCGACTGGACAAATGTGATGTGGGTCAATCATCCTGCTGCCCACCACCAGCATTTGTTCTCAGCGACTGACGCAGAGACTTCACAAGAGAATTAAACTCTGATCTACCAAACTCCCGTTTGCTTCCCCGAGGCAGCTCTCGACACGAGCTCAAGTTGATTTCTTTTAGATTTCTGCAGGTCCTGACGACATGACTGAAACAGAAATCATACAGAAGTTGTTATATGAGCTAAATAGTATATTTAGGATGTAACTGAGAAACTCATCATTCATTCATTAATGTCCCGCTGAGCCATTATATGTCATATAGGACTTGCAGTCTATTCTTCCAATCCATTAATATCGTGGATGGAATCCAGTCCAGCATCTTTGGTCTCTCATCAATATTCGTTTTAGGATTTATTTTGGCTGTCCTCACCTCCTTAATCCCTTTATTTCACATTTTTTTTAGGGGCTGCTTGGTCTTGAGGCAAGGTGTCTGCCTCAAGTGCAAGATGTTCCCGGTTCAATCCCAGTTAAGGGCTGGGATTTGTTCACGTGAAATTGGACTTTTAGTAATTCCTCCTGGCGTCTGGGTAGTGAGATCGGCCGCCTGTGTGCATTGTTGAGCATGTAAAAAATCCCTTGGCAGTTGGAAATTGGAAAGAGTAGTCTAACGGTGCTGCCCAGACAAAATTTGGAGTTAAAAATCAACCCTTGCCGGTGCTACAGAACTTGTGCGCTGTGCTGAGCTTCTTCGGACTCAGACTTGAGTTAGAAGAAGAACAGAGCACTTATGGGTTACTACTACACATGGGCCACGATGTTGATCAGTTGTTCAAACTTCAAACTTTCACATTTAAGTGCCTGATTGGTGATTCTCTGCTGGTTTCTTTTCAGGGTGTGTCCAATGTAGCGCCACCTTCTGTCTTATAACTGTTGACACTAGCGGTTGCAAAGACATTTTTCTTAATGAAAAAGTGTTTTACAGACCCCAAGAGCTGTGATGTTTGGGTTGAAGTCCGATTACAGACCCCAAGAGCTGTAATGTTTGGGTTAAAGTCTGATTACAGACCCCAAGAGCTGTGATGTTTGGGTTAAAGTCTGATTACAGACCCCAAGAGCTGTGATGTTTGGGTTGAAGTCCGATTACAGACCCCAAGAGCTGTAATGTTTGGGTTAAAGTCTGATTACAGACCCCAAGAGCTGTGATGTTTGGGTTAAAGTCTGATTACAGACCCCAAGAGCTGTGATGTTTGGGTTGAAGTCTGATTACAGACCCCAAGAGCTGTGATGTTTGGGTTAAAGTCTGATTACAGACCCCAAGAGCTGTGATGTTTGGGTTAAAGTCTGATTACAGACCCCAAGAGCTGTGATGTTTGGGTTAAAGTCTGATTACAGACCCCAAGAGCTGTGATGTTTGGGTTAAAGTCTGATTACAGACCCCAAGAGCTGTGATGTTTGGGTTAAAGTCTGATTACAGACCCCAAGAGCTGTGATGTTTGGGTTAAATACACAATTATTGTAATTTGAACTCCCTGTGTGGGTTACAGAGCCCAACTGTTGGGGGGTTGGGGGAGGGGGTGGGGAGGGGTGAGAAGAGACCTCTGCCCTTTAACATGCATGTCATAAGTCAACGAATCAGAGATGCTTCCGTCAAAGATGGAGTGCATCTGCCTAAGAGTTGAGGAACCAACAGTCTGCATACAAATAAGCCGATATGTAAAACATATGTGCAAAACCTAGGTTCAGGAACAAAACTAAAGTCCAAGAATGGATTAAAAAAAAACCAGAACATTCCAGCAGAGTTTACGCCAGTGAACACAAAGAAACACGAAGCAGTAATCTGAATACTTACATCACACCACGAACTGTAACAGTTGAATTAGACAGGTTGAGAATCTCTAGTGGGTATTCTTCCTCCAGCCGACCTGATTTCTCAAACTGGTATAAAGCCTCATCAAGGAGACTGTCATTCAGCTTATTGTAGGACAGATCTAAAACTTTCAGAGATCTGGACCACTGGATGGGAAGATAAAAAACAAATATTAATTTCGAAAGGGGGTGGGGGAAGAGACTGGGGAAGTGGAAGCATTAGAAAATATAGATGCAACAGAAAATAATTACCTGCCTATTCACTGATTTAACTTTCCTAGACTATTACCTGAGAGCCTGCGAATAGACTAGTGGCAAGTGCATTCTAGAGGGTGTTCCATAAGTTTCCACAGATAGGAAAAACAAAACAATTTTTTTAAAAAGTGAAAACCACTTTTTTTAAATGTAACACGCTCTTCATGACAACCATTGTTTTGAAATCACATTTCGGTCCATTCTCTACTCCTGAAGAACACATACAAGCACAGTGGAGTTAAGCTTGTCATGGCTTTGATGATATGCTTATTTTTAATATGTATGGAAACTTATGGGACACCCTTGTTGATCCAGTTGTCATTAGTTTAAATCCCCACCTGGATTAGAAGGTGGACCCAGCCACATAAAATGTGTCAGAATAATCTCCTGTGGGAAATCAGGTATTTGGTATGGTGCTAGTTAAATCACCCACTGGGAGCTCTTGCCTCTGTGGCTAAGTGGTCAAGCCACCTGCCTTGTATTGTGAAGGTGATGGGTTCTTGCCACAGATGTGTTGCTCATTTCACGTGAGTAGTTTTTAACGGAGATACCTGGGGATGGTCCCTGGAGCTGTGGAGTTCGTACTTTGGGTGATGCCATCAGCAGGCAGCAAGTGTTCTGTGGAGAGACTGAGCTATATGTAGCAACTCACTGAAAAAGAGGTTGATTCTCTTGACTTTAACATCAACAACTATGTGCTGACAAATATGCCCTTAATGCTATGAGGCAAGTATTCTCCCTCTACTTTATATATCAATATCAATGAAGTCTTCAGACATATGTTCATGGTCAAATGTGCAGCCAATAAATGGACATATGTTGAAGACCATTAGACATATTTCTCCACTCTGCTGTTTGTTCAAATTAGGTAGAGCTGAGTTAACAATTAACATTGCTATATAAAATCAGAGCATTCAAACATGTGCTCCATTTATTTCTTTAGCAGACAGGAGAAGAGCTCTAATACCAACAGCGCCAGCTGCAGTATAATTTAATTAAACTCCTGATCACTTCCTGTTGCATCCTTCTCTCCAACCATGATGATTTATCTGCTTTTCTGCAGTCCAAATGATCCCATCTGGAAGTAATCAAATGGATTTACTATGTTGTCAGTACAGGGAATAATACATGAACAAAATCAGATACATGTTTTAACTATGTGCTCAGTACAAGGTATATTACATAATAAAACAGATATATGTTTTACCTCTGTTGTCAAATACATGAAAAGTTATAAGGTTAATGCCTCGTCATTTAAAAAAAGAAAAAAAAAAGTGAAAAGACATCAATAACCAAATATCTAACTGCAAACAGATACTACAAGCAGGGCTGTATTTAGGATGTATGACACTCTTGTGCAGTCATTTATTTTGGACCCCCCAAGCTAAACTTCAGTTCACAACTGTTACACTCTCCAAATGCTAGACTGCTAATTTAATGTGGGTTTTATAATGATAAAATCAATAGAAATGTAGACATTCTTTTTCTTCTTCTTCATTCACCAGTTGTAAGCTCCGGTGAAACGTCCTGGCAGTTCGCTCATTTGGACGTTTGCCTTGTGCAAGGGCCTCGGTTTTGCATGTATATCTGTATTACTGGCTTATTTATGTGCAGTTGGTTGTTTCTTGCCGCTTTTAAAGATGCACTCAAACTTCAAAGAAAGTCCCCAGTTAGTCGACTCCTGTAATATGCTTGTTGGGGAGGCAGTAGGTCTTCTTATTTGTCCCGGAACCCACCAGGGAATATAAATATTCTACTACTAGTGGTTATACTTTGCCATCCTGTTCAGCTGCACATGGTGCACATGCCTAAATACAACCCTGACTACAAGTGTAGATGATGACAAAATGTAGCAACTTACGGCAGCTATACAACAGATAACTTCCTCTTCTTCTTCATTATCAGACCACATCATATCCTGCAAGTACAGCTCCTCAACTTCCTTGATGTGTTGAGCAATTAGACTTGGACGATGTTTTGAACGACTGAAGTTCAGTGTTTTCAGCTTGCCCACAGAAGAAAATAATCTGAAATGTGTATGCATTTATTTGCTCAGGTGAGTGACAGTGCAAAAATAAATACAATATAATACATTCCTGTATTGCACTTCCAATTTGGTCATTCGAAGACCCCTTGCGGAACCATGCAACAAATTTAACTGGGTCCACAATATGGTCATGCATCTTTCCCATGGCACTTATGGATGCCAGTCATGGACGTTTACTCAATCACTGAAGAAAACAAAGTGGAGCTCTTGAACTAAAATACTATAGAAAAACTCTTACAATACCATGGACCAGGAAGAAGAAAAACACCTTCTTACAAGATCTGAGCATCAAGGAGAACTGGCTCATAAACAGCACCCTGTCCCCAGAAGCTGGGCTATTCTGCCATATTAAACATCACATTGATCTTGATAGATTTGCAGACCTCTGCATAGTGGATAGAAAAAAACTGAAGATGCATTGGCTATGAAAGCACAAAAGGCTAAAGGTTTGGTTGTAGAAAGAGAGACTTTCAGGTTTGTCTTGACAAGAGCAAGGTTCTGTAAAGGATTTGCTGATTGATGATGTCTCTCTCCCTCTCTCTTACACACACACACACACATATATATATATATATATATATATATAAATACATATCTCAGACACAAATCCCTTAGTTTAGAATGCAATTTTTTGTGATTCGAAAATTTAAATAAATAAGTTCTTCAGTATGACTGCTGACATGTATGGGGATCTGTGGCAGGTCTTAGCTAATTATATACATTTAGAAACATCAGAAATGTTGTAGGTGATAGTCTTTAACATAGACATCAACAGTGATCCGCATGGGTTCCAGGACCCCATTGTTATAAAACATTTTTAAAAGACCCACAGCCCCCCTAACAAGCATGTCCTAAAAGCTCACTAATTAGGGGTGTTGTATTTTTCTCGAAGTCGCCTGAAAGGCAAAAAACCAACAGTCTGCATACAAATAAGCCTTATCTGTAAAATGCATATGCATGCAAAGCTCAAAACTAAAGTTCACAGCCATGACTTTCCGCAAGGAGATTACCGCCAATGATCACAATGATTGCTTGGCTGAACAGTTAATAACAAAGGGCTCTCATGCATAAAACCTGGGTTTGAATCCCCAGTAAGGTTAGGGATGTCCTAAATCTGCCCGAAATCTCCCGAATCAAAGATCTCTAAACCCCCCCCCCCCCCCCCCATCGGCAACCGGGTCACCCATTAGCTTGCCGGGATGACTTCATTGCTGGTTAAAACAGTATTTGGGCCTGTTTCCTATGACCAATTCAACACTGCAAAAGTTCTTTTTATGGATACTTGGTGGTGAGCAATGCTAAGCCATTTTATACAGTGCACATAACCTAGTCACAATTATAACCTAAAGCTCCCCCTTTGGGTATGCTGGTTGAACATGGCAATTTTTAAAATATTTTTTCGCAAAGCAAACCAAGACAAGCACTCCCCCTCCCCCTTTTCCACACCATAAAAGAGGTAAATATAAGAGGTGAAAACCTCAAAAAGTGAGAGAAATTAGAATAACCATGTCACTCTCATGGTGCAGATGAATGCAATGATGTCATAATCAGTTTAAAGATGGCTACCCGACTGTTTGCATGCACCAAAAAGGAGCAGTGTTCTGTAACCCATATTTTTTTTTAATCAGTGAAGGGTTGAAGCCTATAAAAATTCATCGGCGAATAAACGTCCATTATTATGAACAACTCTGTAGCTACAGAGTTACGTGCGGACGGCGACACAGGCGGACAGTTTCTTATCAGCTGTCCGTACTAGTGGCAGAGCCCTTATGGTTTATAACTGTGTGCAATGAGGCTGGTTCACAACTCCTGACTTTACCTTTTACCTTTATAGGCTATCAATCTTTATACCAGTCTAACCCTCCATAGGAAGCTGAGGGTAAACTGAAAGGAGATTAACATACCAGTCTACCCTTCCAAAGGAAGCTGAGGGTAAACCAAAAGGAGATTAACATACCAGTTTAGCGGCCACAGGAAGCTGAGGGTAAACCGAAAGGAGATTAACATACCAGTCTACCCTGCACAGGAAGCTGAGGGTAAACTGCAGTCTACCCTGCACAGGAAGCTGAGGGTAAACCAAAAGGAGATTAACATACCAGTCTACCCTGCACAGGAAGCTGAGGGTAAACTGAAAGGAGATTAACACACCAGTCTACCCTGCACAGGAAGCTGAGGGTAAACCAAAAGGAGATTAACATACCAGTCTACCCTGCACAGGAAGCTGAGGGTAAACTGAAAGGAGATTAACACACCAGTCTACCCTGCACAGGAAGCTGAGGGTAAACCAAACGGAGATTAACATACCAGTCTAGCGGCCACAAGAAGCTGAGGGTAAACCAAAAGGAGATTAACATACCAGTCTAGCGGTCACAGGAAGCTGAAGGTAAACCGAAAGGTGATTAACATTCCAGTCTACCACTCCACAAGAAGCTGAAGGTAAACTGAAAGAAGATTAAAATATCATATACCCTACATAGAAGGCTGAAGGTAAACCAAAAGAAGATAAACATACCCGCAAAATGCTGGAAAATCCATCCCATAATGGTTGTGTCTTGACTGGGAGTAGACCTGAAGGCTTTTGAAGTTATGTACACAGGGCTTTTCTCTCTGTAGATATATGAATAAATATATTTATATATCATTAAAATTCTTCTTCTCCTTTTGTTCGCTTGAAATAGATTATCAATATCTTTAATGTTATCTCTAGTATCTTCTTCTTCTTTTTCTTTGCGTTCACAGCTGTACACTCTGGCAGAAAGTTCTGGTTGCTCGTCCACTACTGAACTGCAGTCCTGCTCCAGAACCTGAGTGTTGCGTGTGCATCAGTTTTACAGATCTCATTCTCTTGAATACAGATTGTTGGTTCCTTGCCTCTCCGGCAGATTCACTCCGACTTCAAAGGAAGCTCCCCAATTAGTCGACTCTTACGACATGCTTTTGGGGAGGCAGTGGGTCTGTTCTTGTTTTCCCCACAATGGGACCCCGGAACCCACACCGGGGTATCTCTAGTATGAACTTTACTGTCTTTTGTAATTTACTTAGCAACCCGAAAAAATGTGGTATCCACCAGTGTTTCTTTGCTCTGCTATGTTGTGTTTGTGAATCGTTAAATTTACCCACTTTATTTCCAGTTTCCCTGATGCTACTTTTTCCTCAGTATGCATCATCAATCAGGTACTGTCTTCACAATGAAGGTTGGCTGCAATGGATTTCCACCACTCTCTTGTCTCGGTGGTACTGTCAACTCTCTAAGACTGCTGGTCCTCCATCTCTTAATGTTGTTCTCTCACTTGCATCATTGTCTACCTCTTGTTCTCTTGCCTGCCACTTTTCTCTCCAAGATGGTTTTTAAAAGAGTGTTATCTTTTAAGGGATCTGCCATAGCAGAGAGGCTAGATGCTCCCCTGATGATCAGAAATTCCTGGTTTCAGGTTATGACTGAACCAGATTCTTTTACAAAAATAACCTTGGCTTCCAGGTCGACCCAGCCTTAAATGGGTATCAGGTACAGTCCTGGGAAGTAAAGGTGGCCAGCGTGATGTTCACCACATCATCCATCGAGTGCCGGCTGGTCTATAAAAAATATAGGTCTATATATGCCAAATATGCTTGGATAAGGGTCCTTTAATTAACCTTTGCATCTTTTAACCTTTTACTGCTATGGATGTGTTTAGCCATTTGCTCGTAGACTGATATGAACGACTCGACTCATCTTCTAGTTTCTTCTTATAGTCCCTGCCATGTGCGGTTCGTAATCATGTTGGTCCACTGCCTACTGTAACATGAACTCTCAATTGTTTCTGCCTTCCATGCAATGATTCTGCACTTTAACATTTCTTGCTATCTCCTACTGCCTCTCTTTCTCTCCAATGGCCATCACAGATACAAATAACAGTAGTATAATAGCACACAACATTTCATACAATTATACTATATCGTAAAAAACATATGTAGAATGACATGTGTACATCTACTTTATAACTAATGTACATGTGGACAACTCTTCTTTTATAGCACATCTAGTTTAGAGGCAATGCTATAGAAAGATTCTCAGAATATCTTGGACAAAGAAGATAAGAAATATTGACATCTTAAAAGATCTGAACATCAAGGAAGATTGGCTAATAAACAGCATCCTTTCTCGGAAGCTGAAATATTTTGGTCATATCAAGCGCCACGACGGATTGGAAAAAATTATAGCAGAAGGCATGGTACCAGGAAGGAGGGGCAGAGGCCGACCGACACGAAGATGGGCACAGGATATAAGTGACTCCTTGTCACAGCGTCAGAAAGCCATTGCTACTGGACATTCCCGAGAAAGGCGGATGTTCACGACCACATAGCCAGACATTCCCATGTCAGGTAAAAAATGAATTTTAAAGTATCAGCATCAGTCACTTTACATCAGTAATTGAAGGAAAATACTTCACCCAACCAGAACGTGAAAATAAAAACCCTGGTAGAAAATGTGAGATCCTTGGCAACTGTCAAGAGATCAGATCTAGTGAGTCTATAGCTGCAGTGACCACTAGTGAGCTAGCGACCACAAAACTTGAGTTAACTCAAGATGGTGATTTATGTCATTCCTTGGCAGAAATAAACAGCGTTATTCCCAAAACCAACCCCATTTTAGATAATCTTAATTTATCTAGAAGCTTGCATAGCAAGCAAACTTTTAGGAGGGTAGGTGGCGAGACGGAAGACTTCAGCTCTACGCTGCAAATAGTATTCTGTAAAGCAGAGCCTGTTGATATCCATGCTCCCACTACTTATTCCCGACCTCAGACAGTAGGTAGTCATGTTCTAGATAAAGACATAACTTCTTCAAGTAAGTCGAGTGATATCGTGAAGTTTACTGAGATAAGCAAAAAAGCATTTAAGTCCTGCTCACAACTTAAGGGAAAAGAGTCTCAGGCTTCTGATAAGTCATTGAGATCTCTGGGCATGTTGTTGTGTACCCTCAGAACTAAGGGCACGCACAACTTTCACTTTCCAACGACTGCAAATAAACAGGTCATGAGTGACCAGAGACTTGGTTTGATCCAACATGAACCAACCAAAGCATTTGTGGACTCCTCCTTTAAAAAGAGATGTGTGTTTCACCAAGACTAGACCGATAGTTAGGCAGACGACTAAAATGCTAACTAGATCTACTGAGAACCCCTTAAAGAGTAAACATTTTAAGCTCAGGTCTTTTGCCAGTTTAGTTAGGATTATTAATGATCCCAATCCTGAACCTGGTAAAGTTTATGCCAAATCCTTTGCAGCCAGGCCAGAAATTTCAGTATGTGCCTGTCACAACCCTGTGAGTACAGTCAGTGGAGGAATTGACCACACCGTAGGGTGTGCCGTGTTCAAATGACACCCCAGGGTTGACACAAAGGTCAGTGCCGGAACTGGCCAAGTCTGTGCTGTTCACGGTGAAACAATCGCTCAGTGGAGACCAATTGAGGATGACGGGAAAGAGTGAACTCTGTTGCGGACAAGTTCGCAACATGATAACCCCAGGGGCAGGTGAACGGGTCAAAGGACACGAGGTGAAAAAAAAACACAGGGGATTGAGTGTACCGCGTTCGGACCGAGCAGACGTGTTAGCGAGACAGTAATAGTATATTAGAGATAGGATATTTCTTTAGTGACTGCATAGATTATTTACAGTGTTCTGTTAGAATAGGATAGTCTTTTGTGCTATGTTTTTAACTGGTACAAGGTATTATGTTGTGCACAAGAAGTAAATAGTGTCCAGTTACTTCTGACCAGTTAAATCGTTTAGGTACATGTTCTGTGAGAGAATGTCTAACCTTGTCACGCTGACCCTGCACTAGACAGAGGCAGTGACATCTTGGTCGGTCAGTGTGTCAATATGAAAGAACGTATCTCGCCTAGCTGTGGTTTGTGCACCAGGAGATTGCCTGTAGAACGGACAGGAGAGCGAGGCGATTGTAAAGCTCGTTCGGCCAGAGGGTCCAGGCAATAGGTGGCCACACAGCGGAAAGTCAACTGTCTATTGTATTACCTATACTTGCAATAAAGATTGTCGTACCTGAAGGCTTTTGAAGTTATGTACACAGGGCTTTTCTCTCTGTAGATATATGAATAAATATATTTATATATCATTAAAATTCTTCTTCTCCTTTTGTTCGCTTGAAATAGATTATCAATATCTTTAATGTTATCTCTAGTATCTTCTTCTTCTTTTTCTTTGCGTTCACAGCTGTACACTCTGGCAGAAAGTTCTGGTTGCTCGTCCACTACTGAACTGCAGTCCTGCTCCAGAACCTGAGTGTTGCGTGTGCATCAGTTTTACAGATCTCATTCTCTTGAATACAGATTGTTGGTTCCTTGCCTCTCCGGCAGATTCACTCCGACTTCAAAGGAAGCTCCCCAATTAGTCGACTCTTACGACATGCTTTTGGGGAGGCAGTGGGTCTGTTCTTGTTTTCCCCACAATGGGACCCCGGAACCCACACCGGGGTATCTCTAGTATGAACTTTACTGTCTTTTGTAATTTACTTAGCAACCCGAAAAAATGTGGTATCCACCAGTGTTTCTTTGCTCTGCTATGTTGTGTTTGTGAATCGTTAAATTTACCCACTTTATTTCCAGTTTCCCTGATGCTACTTTTTCCTCAGTATGCATCATCAATCAGGTACTGTCTTCACAATGAAGGTTGGCTGCAATGGATTTCCACCACTCTCTTGTCTCGGTGGTACTGTCAACTCTCTAAGACTGCTGGTCCTCCATCTCTTAATGTTGTTCTCTCACTTGCATCATTGTCTACCTCTTGTTCTCTTGCCTGCCACTTTTCTCTCCAAGATGGTTTTTAAAAGAGTGTTATCTTTTAAGGGATCTGCCATAGCAGAGAGGCTAGATGCTCCCCTGATGATCAGAAATTCCTGGTTTCAGGTTATGACTGAACCAGATTCTTTTACAAAAATAACCTTGGCTTCCAGGTCGACCCAGCCTTAAATGGGTATCAGGTACAGTCCTGGGAAGTAAAGGTGGCCAGCGTGATGTTCACCACATCATCCATCGAGTGCCGGCTGGTCTATAAAAAATATAGGTCTATATATGCCAAATATGCTTGGATAAGGGTCCTTTAATTAACCTTTGCATCTTTTAACCCTTTTACTGCTATGGATGTGTTTAGCCATTTGCTCGTAGACTGATATGAACGACTCGACTCATCTTCTAGTTTCTTCTTATAGTCCCTGCCATGTGCGGTTCGTAATCATGTTGGTCCACTGCCTACTGTAACATGAACTCTCAATTGTTTCTGCCTTCCATGCAATGATTCTTCACTTTAACATTTCTTGCTATCTCCTACTGCCTCTCTTTCTCTCCAATGGCCATCACAGATACAAATAACAGTAGTATAATAGCACACAACATTTCATACAATTATACTATATCGTAAAAAACATATGTAGAATGACATGTGTACATCTACTTTATAACTAATGTACATGTGGACAACTCTTCTTTTATAGCACATCTAGTTTAGAGGCAATGCTATAGAAAGATTCTCAGAATATCTTGGACAAAGAAGATAAGAAATATTGACATCTTAAAAGATCTGAACATCAAGGAAGATTGGCTAATAAACAGCATCCTTTCTCGGAAGCTGAAATATTTTGGTCATATCAAGCGCCACGACGGATTGGAAAAAATTATAGCAGAAGGCATGGTACCAGGAAGGAGGGGCAGAGGCCGACCGACACGAAGATGGGCACAGGATATAAGTGACTCCTTGAGGGTGAAAGTTCATGAGGCGGGGAAACTGGCAAGAGACTGAGTTTCTTACAGGCAGACTGTGATGAGAGCGACGTTCTGCAAAGGACCTGCTACATGATGATGATGAGTTTAGAGGCAAATTACTAACTTTTTTTTTAACTGACCAAAAAGATGCTACAATGAGATATCCTTGATTGTCAAGAACCTATTTTACTGCCGTTGTGGCAAATGGTTTGTGTGCAGACTCATGACAGTAATGTCTATCCTAAAACCCAACTAAACCACAGCTAAATACATCAATGACTGTCAGTATAAATAAACACAATAGCCTATCTCTCACTAACCTCGACTAACACTTAAATTATCCTACCGTCAAACTAAATGCATTATCATAAAAGATTATTTCATTAATTTAAGTCAAACACAGCAAACATTCAATGATCAGATCAACACGCCATCTCGTCCAGTCTCTCTCACAAATCTCCTCAATGAATCCGTCCCTCAATCACTTTTGTTCAGTGTCCCCCCCCCCCCCCCCCCCTCACTCCCAGTCTGTGGGAATCTCTTGGACTTGATCAATTCATCCCTTACTAGTCTTAGTCACAGTCCCCCGCTGGCTATTGAATACATCGTCAGGATGCTGTCAACTAAGTGCTATCCTGCGTATTCACTATAATCACACCCCAACATCCCATAGCCACACTAGACCCTGTAACCCTTTCACCCTGAGAGAAGCCTAAGTCTAGTCACTTCCGGCTGTGTCACATGCTTGTAAATGCAGAGAAATAGCCATGCCGGCAGTGATCTATTCTCGATAAGCATAGTTAGATTCCATTAGTCATATTTATGCTTGTGTGGTGTTAAACAGACCAAGATATGAATACACTAACTGAAAATAGCATTTAGGCGGGCTTCCTTATGACCCTAACGGCTGTTTGAAAGTCAAGTTGATGTCTAATTTTTTTTTTAAAGTCTTAATGATGGGACAATTTTGTGTGACATCTTTGCAGGCAGCTAGTCATTCTACGGAGTCAGAAACATATGGGATAAAACCCTGTGCAATAAAGCTGATCCTTTCAACTTTAACGTTGTTCAGAAGCTATATCTCTAGCAGTAAACATTATCATCATCTATCAGGTCCTATGCAGAACATCGCTCTCATCACAGCCTGCCTGAAAGATATTTGCCGATATCTGCCGTTAGATCTCCCGCCTCATGCACTTTTCTACCTCAGGTTTTACTGATTTCCTGTGCCCATTTTCTTTATGGTTAGACCATACCGCCCCTTCTTGACCTTGTGCCTTCTGCTATATTTACTTCTAAACCACCATGGCTTTTGCTATGGCCAAAATATGTTATTTCTGAGACAAGATGCCATTTACTAAACAACTTTCCATGATGTTCAGACCTTTTAGGATGTCAGTATTTTTTTTTTCTTTTTGGTTCATGGTATTTTGAGCATCTTGCAAGCAGTAAATAAGCAAACAAAATTTATCCACAATGGCAACCCATCTAAGAGAAAATGACAAATGACAAAATCTAACATACCGAGGAGTTGTCAAGGATATTGAAGCCGTCTAGAAACAGCTCTCTCAACCTGGGACAACCACAGGCTAAGCCATCCATGTCAGTGATAAAAATCTGATGACTGTGTGGTTCTAGCCCTGCCACTCCTAGGTCCAGCACCTCCATATTGGGGCAGTTTTCCTGAGGTCAATAAATAGCGCTAACAACATCAGTATACTGAGTAAATACAGTTAAAGTCTAGTTAATGTCTTCAGGTGGATATCAGCAATACACTGTGTTTGTAAAGTTACTTGAGGTTTCAAACTCATTGCAGACAGGCTGTCCCATGGCTGCTCCGTTCCTGTGCCAGTGGAAATCACACAAAATGTCATTCACTCTACCATTTAAAAAACAAATGCCAGTCACAGCAAAATATCAAAGCTCGCACATTCAAAGTAAATTCATAAGGCTGTCATCAGATGTGGCAACACTTACAATCCCACATGAATTGCAGCTTAATGTGGATAATCAGCCACCTGTAATTATTAGTGCAGTTCACAATTCCAGCCATCGGGGACACAACAGAAAAAGACAAGCTTTCCACATGAAATGAACAGCTCACAACCTTCCTTGATGTCCAGATCTTTAAAGATGTCAGCATTTCTTTTCTTCTTGGCCAAAGTATTCTGAGAATCTTTCTAGCAGTAAACAAGCAAACAAAATTTATCCATGACGGCAAACAAAAAAATAAACGACAAAGTAGCCAAATAGCTGGGCGATGTCCAGAAATGGGAATCTGCATCAGCAAACCCTGCCCAGAAACGAATTAACTCTTTTCTAGTGTCAATAGTCCTCAATATTTTGGACCAGGTGGTCTGTTATAAATACTATTTACGGCCCTATTTAAGACAGTTAAACATGGACACTGTCTTCAGAAGACAGAAGCAAAATTATCAAGACAGAAATGGAATGTTTACATACTATGCTAGGTGTAATGAAGAAAGAACGACTTAGGAAGGATTATATCAGGAGGAGAGTCGGCATAGAACCAATACTGAACTGTATAGGTAAACAACAAATCAATGGTTTGGCCATGTAACAAGATTGGCATCAGGGTAGCGAAGAGAGCAGTATATTCAGACTCAACAGTAACAGATTCAGAGGTCGACCAAGCAGAAGATGGACTGCAGAAATATCAGAGACATGATGCCGCAAGGCATTCCAGGAGTAGAGAAAAGAACAAGATAAGCCAGAGTTAAATCATCTACACCATCAGAAGATTCAATGACCAGTGTGGTGTCTGTTATATTTAAGGCAAGACAGGTTGACTATACTTCTTCTGCATTCATCCAAAGATGTATAATGAGTTGTATATGTTTACAACATGGCTTTCAGCTGACACATCCGACTTCTGCAGGCATTTGTTGCCCAGGTTAGCCTTCCCGGTAGGTTGATTACACAATCTAATGACAAGTTTACACTTAGAGACAAGTGTTCAATTGTGATATATGTACAGTAGTATGTGCAAGTTCACGACTAGAGATATACACAAATGTGGCTTAAGATCTTAAGTTCCGTGCAGTCCGTTTCACAGATCTAACTCATTTGCATGCAGACTGTTGGTTCCTTGCCTCTCAGGCAGATGTACTCTTCAAAGGAAGCTCCAAATTAGTTGACTCTTACAAAAGGCTTTTGGGTGGGCAGTGGGTCTATTCTTGTTTTCCCCCAGTGGGACCCCGGAACCCACACTGGAGGCGGTAGAAGTAAACAATGATCTCTCTTTGTCTGTGTGTTGTTGTATCTGTGTGTATGTGTGTAAAACAATGACCACCCTCACCTGAACAAACTTCAGGACTTTACTTGGGCACTGCTGGACTGCTGTGACATTGGTCAACTTCAGCTCCAGCAACTTGGAACCCAGACCTTCAATCAAAGACTCCAGGGAGGTCAGTGTGATTTTCTTTTGCTGTTGATAACAAGAATATCAATAAACATTCAGGGCTGTATTAAAAAAGACAAATTATGTCGAGGAAGTTCACAGAAGGGTGAAAAGGTCTGGGTTGCAGGGGAGGGGCTGTGCATATACATAACAAAACTTTGTTACCTAAATCTTTGTAAAGGAGTAAAATATTAACAGAGAATAAAAAACACTATATTTTCAAAGGGTTAAGAATTGGATACACAGACGGAATATTCAAGACAATGTTTGGCATCAACTTTAGCCATTTCTTGTAACTGCATTTTTTTCTTTATTTTTTTTTTTTTTTTAATGTTTGACCTCTCCAGATTTGCAATGCAAATTCCAAAAGACCAGTTCAACATTTTAGCCATGTAACAACATATGGCATAGTTACACTGGAGCACCACAAAAAGATTACCAGATAACCTTCATCCAGTGTGGATGTAAATTACTGACAAAAGTTTCTGTTTACAAAGCTTAATGTTATTAAGCGCCACCGCCAGCCTTCTATACCAAGTACCACAGACAAGTTAGTACCCAAACAACAAGTCTATATCCATCTTTAGAAGGGATAACGTTATGAAACATCTATACGACCGGCTCAAAACAGCAGTCAGTCAAACTTTCTACAACGACCCCCACACAAATGACCTTAGTTAAAGAACCACTGTCGATGTACACCAGATCAAATTGTATTTACCAATTTAAATGCAACTGTGAAGTAGCTTTTGGGTTCTTTCGTAATATCCTACACCAGATGACATCCAACATTTTAAAGGATGGTAAGACTGGGTTTCCCGGCTTTCTGATGATTTTAATGACCCCAAAACATCTAGAACCGGCCCTAACCCCAACCCACCTACGTCCCACGAGAGAGTGCAGCCTAGGTCCCATGACTCCATGCAGCCTATCTACCACACCCTGAAAAATTAGACTGTCCTGTGACCTGTGGATTTCCCGTTTGGGGTAGGATATTAAGAAAGCCCCTAGCTTTTGTAGGCAGAACTGAACGACTCCAGCAGAAACAAATTGTTGAGCACATTCCAGTATGGATGAAAAAGCAAAAGAAAGTAAAAATCAGAATAAGAATAACAACAAGAACAATAATTTTATAAACACGACCCAGGTAACCAGTCAGAAAGACCACCCCTCTTCAATTGAGTGCCACCTTTTGAACTCCAGATATGCTGTAAACAAGGACTGACTATTTAGAACTCTACAAATTCTACATGATTTGCTACTCCCCCCCCCCCCCCCCCACGAACTTTGTAAAAAAGAAAGACATGATAGTGACCCTGCGATTGCCCTGGTAAAACAGGCAAGTTGCTTTTAAGAACAGATTTAATTGTACTGTAGTTGTTCAGGATTCACTTATTTTCTTCTTTATTTAAAATTACAGATTTGACAAAGAAAATATTTTGAGCTAATCATGATAAGAAACAGAGTATCACTAATCAGGCACTGAAGTGGGGAAACAAATGCACTAGGGCAGAACAGAACGGAGGACTAGATGGCGAGCCCTATAAGACGTACAAGGCACAACAGGATGATAACAAATAACACTGCTATGTGTAAACCAACTTACAACATATCGATAGTGACTTGACAAATTTAATCTCTGTATATGGGGACACAGCTGCGGTAACTCTTTGACAAAGTCTGCTTTCACAACACAGCCAGTGAGATCCAGCGTTCGTAACTGGGGCATCAGGCTGAGAGCACGCTGTGGAGAGTTACACAAAAACAGTTGCATATATTCGTTAACTTTATGGAACAAGGAAGGAAACTGTATAGAAGGGGGTGAAGACAAGAAATATAAGGCAATGACTGTTCTTTAGCTCTGGTTGGCAAGTTTATAGATTGTCATGGGGTGAAACAGGCAGGTAGATAGACAAGGAGTTAACTGTTAGATTGACAAAGTGAAATGCTAGTATTAATACAAGTAGCGGACAAGACAAGCCATTAACATGAGATACGCATGTGTTGACCCCAGGTAATGATGGAACTAAGTGCAGGCTTTATCAGTTAGTGCCTGGAGCTTGATGGAACAAGACTATAGTTTAATAGAATGTTGAGAACATTCTCTTTTCGGAACAACTTTATAATTACAAGAAATTAACATGTATTGTGACAGTTAAGATGCCACAGAGCTATAGGATAGTGTCATAGACTGGATCTGCTATCAAAGGTGTCTGTTCGATACATTACTTCATTTATTTCCAGAAAACCAACTGGACTAAGTGACTACTATGCCAGAGAAAAGACTTAACAATGCTACTCTTCAAAATATATAGTAATATTGTGTGGAAGGAGGGGTTGTTAGTGATTTATTGTCTAGCCTGAGGTGCAGTTAATGTATGTTTACAACGGATTTTTGCTATACAGCCCGGGACCAGGTTGATAACTTTAAATTTGACCCATGGACCAAGATAAGTTGCCCACCCCTGACCTAACTGCACTTGTTTTGTGTTAACTCTGGTACTGACCTCTACAAGAGAAGGACCTAAGTGCACTTGTTTATGCAGGCTGAGATACTGGCACTGGCTGACATCTTGCTGTAACAAATTTGCAAGACATTTCTGGTATTTCCGTACGAGTACGATCTGTTCAGTGCTAAAATCCAATCGCTTCCGCATGGAAGGGTCAGACGCAATTCTGTTCCATGCTTTGCTGACCCGAGCCACCCTGGTAAAGTAAAACATGAAACTATATAAAACCAAACAAGAAGTATGTTATGTTATGACAATCAATGCCATTGCACACTGGGAATTCGCTCTAATGCAGCAACACCTCCAAGGTGCCTCTAATGATTGTTCCAATGAGGAACTGGTTATAATGTCTCCTATTTCTGCCTTGAAAGCGGCATAGATTTGCCTGACAATGCTTTTCTTTGATGTCATGCAATCGTGTTAGTGAAAGAGATTTTTCACTATCCACTAACCTAGTTTGTACAGTACTGAAGTATAACAAATCACAACAAAATAGACACTGTAGTTAGAAAGCTGACAAAGACCTGATATTTCAAAAGCAACAGCTACAGGAACACTTGTAATGGACAAAGGAGAAATCTGAAGACCACTTATGAACAAATGCTGATAGAAAACATGAGGTTAGATAAAACAACATTGTAAGAGCGAGTGAATGTGGAAGCTGATCCGGCAAGCGGGGAGGTATGAGAGGAAAAGAAAGACGTGTGCAAGATCAGTTTGCTACAATAACAATTAGTATCTACACAATAAAACATTTGCTGTGGGAGGTGGAGCATTTCTGAATGTGCTACAATGCTGATTTTTTAATCAGTTTTACCACAAATGGACAAGAATTACAATGACACAAAAATACACAGTTATTTATCTGTGAGTTGAGGTCTCTCACAGAAATACAACATGTCAGGGTAATATAACATGTCAGGACAATATAACATGTCAGGACAATATAACATGTCAGGACAATATAACATGTCAGGAAAATACAACATGTCAGGACAATATAACATGTCAGGACAATATAACATGTCAGGACAATACAACATGTCAGGACAATACAACATGTCAGGACAATACAACATGTCAGGACAATACAACATGTCAGGACAATACAACATGTTAGGACAATATAACATGTCAGGGTAATATAACATGTCAGGACAATACAACATGTCAGGACAATACAACATGTCAGGACAATACAACATGTCAGGACAATACAACATGTCAGGACAATACAACATGTCAGGACAATATAACATGTCAGGGTAATATAACATGTCAGGACAATATAACATGTCAGGAAAATACAACATGTCAGGACAATATAACATGTCAGGACAATACAACATGTCAGGACAATATAACATGTCAGGGTAATATAACATGTCAGGACAATATAACATGTCAGGACAATATAACATGTCAGGACAATATAACATGTCAGGACAATATAACATGTCAGGACAATACAACATGTCAGGACAATACAACATGTCAGGACAATATAACATGTTAGGACAATACAACATGTCAGGACAATATAACATGTCAGGGTAATATAACATGTCAGGACAATACAACATGTCAGGACAATATAACATGTCAGGACAAAATAACATGTCAGGACAATATAACATGTCAGGACAATATAACATGTCAGGACAATATAACATGTCAGGACAATATAACATGTCAGGACAATATAACATGTCAGGACAATATAACATGTCAGGACAGTAGAAACTGAGTTATGTGTGGTAAAGTAAAGCTGTAACAGAATAACATTTCAAACAGCCAAAACAGTTGAGGTTCACAATTAATAGTTTAGGTAGAAACTTCTGTGCTGAATTCTCAAAGAATAACATATTAATTCAAAACAATGTTTCCAGTTGTGAATGTAAATGAGGACACACAAGATACTGCTGGGTATATTTTATGCAATCTTGCCAGATGCATACCAAAAGAGTTAACATTAAATATCTATTTCGGTTAAAAGGATTCATGCTGCTTTACATGATAATGTTAACCTTCTTGCCATGATACAAGGTCTTGGGGTTTTGAACTTTGGTTGACATGATACAAGGTCCGACATTTAAGTAATGAGACTGATTTTATTATGGCTAAGACAAAAATGCCATCTATGACTCACAGCATGAAATCCAAAGAGGCAACCTTCCTCTATGATTTGACAACTTTTCATCACTGCCCTATAAGCAGACAACAAACAAGCTGCTATTTTGTTAACCTAGTCAGAGGTGCATTGTTACATAATCAGCATGGAGCACACACAAAATTCTGTTGAAAACTCAGAAAAAGCTCCATTGCATCAGTTGAATTGTTGCAACAAGTTTATGGGGATAATTGTTTATCTCGTGCACAGATTTTCAGCTGGTACTCACGATTCAAAAGTGGTGTGGAAATGATTACTAATGCACTAGACCTGTACGCCAAGTTTCTGTTCGTAATGAGGAACTCATTGCAAAATTCTGAGAACGGATACAAGATGACTGTTGTTCGACTGTGAGGATGATTGTGTTAATACAGATATTATTCGTAAAATGTTAGTGGAAGATTTGGGCAAGAAAAAAGTTACTTGCGGGTCTGTATTCAACACCTGTCAATTTGTTTTTCTTTTTTTTTTTTTTCATGACAATGCACCGGCTCAAAGGGCGGTAGTTGTACCCTAATTTTGTGCCCAAAAACAAGTGCGTGTTCTTAACTATCCACCCTATGCCCCCGGATTTGTCTCCTGAGACTATTTCTATTCTTAAAATTAAAGTTGCCATTGACAGGATGCTTCTTTGACGATACAGATGACATCCAAAGGGCCATGACATCCACTTTAAGGGCCATAACAACAGAACTACTTACTACACAGGTCATTCCAGTGTTTGTTAGATGGTGCCACTTGCTGTTTCAATGCATAAGGGGCTTACTTTGAATAAAATACAGGTTATATCTTCAACTGTTAATTATTTTAACTTTTATGGAATTAGTCTCATTACTTAATTGTCGGACCTTGTATCTTTAGACTGTGCCCAGTACATGTTGGTACTAGTTGCAACTGCATAGTGTTTATACATGGTGGGCATAATTATATTTACACACATATTTTTTAAAGATATTACAGGGGACATAAAAAAATTAATTTGTGTGTGTGTGTGTTCCTAGTGACGTGTATATAAATTTATGATACCACTTTGTTCTCTGTGGCTGTTTTAACAAAACATCTGTTTCCATTGTCAAAGGGAAGGAAAACAGTTATATCTTTGCTCTAATTGTATTTAGTGATTACCGGCCTTCATAATTTAAAAAAACTTTGCATAAAATAATTGTTCTAAATAAGAAAACCCCATCTTTTCAGTGAGTTGGAAGGGGGGGGGGGGGGGGGGGGGGGGGGGGGGGGGGGGGGGGGGGGGGGGGGGGGAGTGATTTAGCAACAGCTGGCTAGCAGACTTGCCAGTCTACTCAATGATCATAGGTGTCAACCCCCCTGGATCGTTATAAAAACCGCCCAAGACTCCAAATTTTTTTAGCTTCTTATTCTCTTCCTCTAGTTTCTTAGTGCAGGATTTCAGAAAACTATAACAATGCATTTATTTTTAAAGAAATTAAAAAATGGTCTCTTCAAAAATAAAAAAAATTTTTACAGTGCGAAAGGATTGATGATTTCAGCAAGATACAATTAAATATTCTATGCAATAAACTGTGCATTGTACTATAGGTTGTGTCCAAATTATTTAAATACTATTTAATGACAGAAGCAGTAGCAAAGTGTAAACATTTTTTTTCATGTGGTTTTCAAGTACACTTTCTCCACATACAACAATCCACACTTGTGACTGCAAAAAATAAATAAAATTAGTAAGTAAAGTAAGATAACTACATTAGTAGGGTCAAAAAGTTCTAGAACGGATTAAACAGAATGCATATTATGTATTTTTCACATTAAGTACAGTAATTATACGTACATATGCAGAATGTTTCTGTTTTATATACAATTTTGTGTAACCTGTCTGAATAAAAATAGTGTTGAAATAAATAAATTAGACTTATGACCAGTTTGACTAAGAAATGTTAGTTGGAACAGAACTCGGTCGTAATTCTGAAAGTAATTTTGTCTATTTCAAGTATTAAATAGATAATGCACTTTATGGATAGGCATGCACATATGTTGTTTATATGTTGTCCAACTCTTCTTCTTCTTATAGCCCATGTCATGTGTAGTCAGGTCTCTCCACAACCTTCTGTCTCATGCATTTTCAATCAATTCTGACATGCACTCTTCCTTGCCATAGTGTCAAACTATCCTCAGTTTCGTCGCAGAGCTTCTGAGTTGAGTGCATGGCGTGACACTGTGAGCTGCGTTTGTTTTTCGTTGGCACGGGAGCGGAGCATATGTGGGGTGACCCGTTTGCTATGAAGCTGAAACTAGGATTACCAGATTACCAGATTACATAGAAAAGAAAGGCATATGGATGAAAATAAACAACAAAGTATGGTATTATTTCACTTTCAAGTAAACTTAAAACAGTTTTCAATTAGTCTCTTACAAAACACGCAGCTAGTGGTGGACACTAATTAACTGCATGCCTGAAAAAAAAAAAACAGAAGTTACTGGACCGATATTATAACAAGTCCCAAATTATAAGAAGAAATGCCTGAAAAGATGACAAATACAAAAAAGATAATACAATGTTGTAATAAGAAGTTATGAAATACATACTTTGGGACAAAGATGACGAGAAGCCATGAAGTACACATGTGGGAATTAGTTCTTTCGTCTTCTTTGCGCTCACCAGCTGTAAACTCTGGTAGAAAGTTATGGTTTTTCATCTATGTTTAGACTTCAACCATGTTCTAGAATTTGAGATTTGTGGACACACTCAGGCAGATGCACTCCGACTTCAACGAAAGCACCTCTGATTATTCGACTTTTATGACATGCCCCAGGAGGGTAGCGGGGGGAGGGGGGGTGCAGGAGGGTGTGCAGGGGAGTGGGTCAATCCCCCCCCCCTACCACAAAGGGGTTCCAGAATTCACACAGGGACCTGGGAATTAGTTGATCAGAAACCACAATGCACATACCTGGGAATAAAGTTGATGTACCCAACCGCATCAATGCCATGCTGGAATATCTTGAGCATGACTTCTGGTGGCAGGTGTAACTGGACACCATCTGACTTGTCTGTACTCACATCATCTGTTGAGGCCATGGAAAATTTCATGTGAAATAAGTGTGTACAAACAACCAGATACCTTCAACTATACTGTCATGCAGGTCTCAATACTTAGTAAGGTGGTGGAAGTATTCCTGTTGGGAGCATGCAGCACTAAATCTTTAATCTCCAAGCTCAACCACACCCCCCCCCCTTTCCAACTCTTCTTCTTCTTATAGCCCATGTCATGTGTAGTCAGGTCTCTCCACAACCTTCTGTCTCATGCATTTTCAATCAATTCTGACATGCACTCTTCCTTGCCATAATGTCAAACTATCCTGCACCTCCTTCTGATGAAGGCAATCAATTCTCTTCATTAGTCAACTGTTTTCAAGACATCATCATTACTCCTTTTACCTGCCCAGGGTGTTCTCATCATTCATCCTTATCCAAATGTGATAGTGGTTTCTAGAAACTTTCGCATATGAGTTCACCGCTTCAGCCCTGTACATGACTGCCCTCATGTATCCATGAGCTGCAAAAAGTTCTGTTTTTTACAAAACTAACACTTCCCCAATGCATAACATAAACAGCAAGCAATGTGGTTCCCATAAATAACATTATGAGTTGTGTATATGACCTCTCCAACATGTCTAACCCCCCCCCCAATAACACAGTGAGATCATTGGACAATCAACAGACTGTAAGGCCATAGATTGCTGGAAATGACTGGAAACAACTTCAGAAAATCACGTCTTCCGATGAAGTTTGATTCCAATTTCACTTTCCGGTTACTGCTGACAAATTTCATAGACTTTGTCCCTTTTTGTAAATTATGCACAATATTTCAAGCCCTTCGAGGTCCTAGTTGCCAATCAAGGGTTTTTCCAGCTTTCAATGGTTGCTTTCAGAACTGCTATTCACATGGCTGCAGTCTATCTTATCTCCTAAATGACACTGGAAAAACATGGTGGTTTTTTTTCTTTAGCATTCCCCTATTCCAACTTTCATCTCCCAAAGGAGCAGCGGTTCTCAACATATGGGTCACGACCCTTCTGGGGGTCTAACGAGCCTTTCCCAGGGGTCGTCTAAGACCATCGGAAAATTCATATTCACTGAAGTTATGAAGTAGCAATGAAAATAATTTTATGGTTGGGGGTCATGACAACACGAGGAACTGTATAAGAGGGTCTTGGCATTAGGAAGGCTGAGAACCACTGCAATGGAGCAAAGGTCCTTAACAACCAATGCTAAGCCCATTTATAGATCTGTTCATGACCAGTTACATTTTGCAGCAAAAGCTTTATAAGTGATGAAAAAAAAAAGGTCAGTCTCATGCAACCCCCCCCCCCCCCCCCCCCCCCCCCCCCCCCCCCCCCCCCCCCCCCCCCCCCCCCCCCCCCCCCCCCCCCCCCCCCCCCCCCCCCCCCCCCCCCCCCCCCCCATCTTTTACATAATACATAGTACATTCAAGTGCTGCTTTTTTGTGCTTCCTCCGTAATATATGGGCGGGGTTTTCTAGAAGTAAAGGACCCTTTCCATGCCCCTGGAACATCAGCCATATGATGCTACACTTCTTTTCTGTATAGACAGTTGGCAATCAACAGGTGATGTGGGAACCATCATGCCGACCACCTTTACTTCCCAGGAATTTACACTGTACCCATTTAAGACTAGATCAATTTTTTGAAAAACAAAATCTGTCAAGGCAGATTCAAATCAAAGACCTTTGGGCTGACTGGCAAGCATATAGCCACTTTGCTACTGTAGGTTTTCTAGTGCTTATACTGAAAGCCAAACAATTTCTTGAGGCCTCGGAAATGTGGTTTTACAGAAGGATTCTTAGAATTCACTGGACAGCCAAAAAGAGCAACCCAGATGTTTTGAAAGAGGCGAGGGCTTGAACACAACTTATCAGCTGTGACCATGGAAAGATCTGTGAAAATAGAGACAAAGGAAGACAACGTGAGAAGATTCTTGACAGATGCTTGTCATGGTACGGTGGGGAGTCAGCACACAAACCGAAACATGCTGCGGAATACTATAGTTTGTGGAGTGGCATGATCGTTCACACTAGACAGCAAGGCGCTTGATGTTATCATACTGAAAACCACAGGTAACTGCCACAAATCATAATAAGGACATGCATGTTAATAAAACAACAATATACTTCGAGACTTACTAACCTTCTTTAACGTTCCGACGTTTTCGTTTGGAAACTGGGGATTTTGTGCTGTTGACATTCTTTCTTTTCCTGCTTTTGATGTGTTTTCTTCTTGCTCTTTTCACCTCTTCATAATCTTCATCATTAGACTCCCTGATTGGATCAGTTTTGGACACAAAACAGTTAAAACATATGGTTCAGACTTGTCATCAGTCTAATCAAAAAATATGCAGTGAGTCTTGCTTAAGCAAACTTAATAAACATATGATTCAAAAACTCCTTGAATAAGCTTTAAAAACATGTGAGTGCTGAATCAACTTTATAAACACATGGATTGATATTAAAAAGTCAACTCCATAAAGACATGGATTCAGAAATAATTAACCAACTCCATAAAAACATGGATCATATAAATAACCAACTCCATAAAAACATGGATCAAATAAATAACCAACTACATAAAAACATGAATCAGATGAATAACCAACTCCATAAAAACATAGATCAGATAAATAACCAACTCCACAAAAACATGGATCAGATAAATAACCAACTCAATAAAAACATGGATCAGATAAAAAACCAACTCCATAAAGACATGGATTCAGACATAATGAGTCAACTCTGTGAACACATTTTCACACTTTCTAGCTGAAACAATTGTAAAGACATGGCTTGTTCACAGGCTTGTTGTAAATCGCTTTAAACAAAAGGTTCATAAATATCACAGCAGTTCAAAATTACTCTTCAACAGCATGTGCCTTGTCCAATGGAACAGGCATCCGTGTCTCCCCAAGATCTCCTGCCTGTGTTCTGCATCCATTCTACTGATATTCCTCCATGCCACCACCATCCAGCATTATTTTGTGTTGCTGACTGGGAGGGGTCTGCCTCTATATCATCTATCAATGATTTTACAGATCATGAAGTTTTCCAATGCCTCTCTTCCCTTCACAGTTCAGGGAACTGACAGGTCAGACTTAATGAAAGAACTCTACTAGAACAAGGAAGGACAAGGCTCATAAACTTACCTGCCAGGGTAATAATCAGAGTCAAGGGAGTCTGATGACATTTCATCTCCAGGTCTTGGCTGAAATGTGAACAACACGGACATTCCGTCTCTATATCAGTATGAGTTTCTTGTAGAAGCCGGAGCACTTCCTTTTCCTAGTATCAAGTACCTGAAAAATTATCAAAAAGTATTATGCCGATATAGTTAGATCAACATCATGGCACAAGGGTAGTAACCCATAAGTGCTCTGTTCTTCCTCTAACTCAAGCCTGAGTCCGAAGAAGCTCATCACAGTGCACAGGCTCTGTAGCATCGGTGAGGATCCTGAAATACTTTGGGTAGATTCAAAACTAGTAAAGTGTAATTTAGTATCCTTGTTTTGTAGAAATAAACAGAAGAAAAAAACTAGAGGATCAATTCTGTTGAACTGAATTGTATTCCACAGTTTAGTCTCTCTTCAGAATAGCTGGTCAGTTGAACAGAGCATTTAACTGCAGGTCTAAGGACAAGCATAGGCTTGCTTTCTAAGAAAGCAGGACTGGTCCGGCAGTGGATACCAGCTCACTGTGGTATTCCAGGAAATGGGACAGCATATGCTCTGGCAAGAGCTGGGAGTAATCTCTCACAACCTCATCCACCAGAGAGTTATACAGAAAAGAAAACAGTCATTCCAGCGGGAGTGGACAAGGCAGATGAAGACTACAGAATGGAGAGTGACATCATAGACACACTCAACTGAGTCAACTCTGTGAGCACATTATTCAGAGCATTACATAAAACTACAACTTCCATGAACACGACACACACACATCGTGATTGTAACTGACTCAGAAAGTATGCAGAGGAACGTCAGGACACGCATGCTTCATGCAGAGTGCATGCTTCACTGCGTGTGGCATATTGTCGTGATTTTTTTCTCCAGCGTGTTGGACAGACTGGCTGGCTCTGCACAACTTGGTGGAATAGTGATGCATGATAAGGCAGACATGGTTGGTGCTTTGTGGGGGAGTGTTTACAGTTCGGAGCAGAAGGATCCCACAGTCTGGTGAGATTGATGCAGCGGGGAGAGACGAGAGGTTCTGGCAGATGCTCGAGGCTCAGAGGAAAGGCAAGACGAACATTTAACCAGAATGCTACTGGCACCATTAGTATCGAAACTCTACACTGGCTGCTGAAGATGGGGACACAGTGCTTATGGGAATTCCCTGAGTGCTGTGATGTTGGTTCTTGAACCAACTCAATTCAACAACTTCCATGACAATTCTCATGGATCTCCTAAACTCATGCACAGAAAGGCAGTCAGAACATAACTAGAACCTTCGCTCAAAAAAAGATTCTTTAGAAGAGCAATCAACATTTATAGAATATAACAAAATGAAATTTGAAAGAAAGTAAGAGAAGTAACCCCAGATTTCAACAGGAAAGAACAAACATTAATTTTTAGGTTTCAGACAGAATGCTGAGGTTTTAGAGCACACCTACACATGATAGGCATTAAACCAAAAAAGAAAGTGATTGAAAAAAAACAATGAAATCCAAAAGAAAGTAGTTGTGGTAGTAGCCTTAGATTTAATTACAAAACAACTTATGAAGTGGTTTGACTATATAACTCAGATACCAACATACAGTATACTACTGTAAATCCTGCAGTGTTTAGCAACTAACGACACCAGTTCTGTGTTAGCTTTTTTAAATTATTTTTTAGCTTCCTGCATAGTGCTTCGTCTGGCCACAATCCGTTTTAACTTGCAGTCTGGTCATGGCTGCAGATTCATCACTTGGTTCTTGCAAACATATTTGTTTCTTACAGAGCATTCAGAAAATAAGCATGACCCATTTCTCAACTGCCCTTCATTGTGGCTTACCTACAAGCCTATCTATGTTTGCTTATTTCCTTGCATGCCATGTCAAGAAAATGAAACTGATCTATCTCAATCTCAACCACTTCAGAGTCACCAACAACTGTTTTTTCACCCAACCCCTCTCTTTATCCTCCTGAGCATATTCATTGAGTCACTGAGAAAGCATGTGCAGCTGAAAGTCTGTGTATCTAGTCATGTTACTCATAAAAGCCTACAATTTGTTCGACACTCCTTTGACTTGTTCCCGAAAATGGCGGCATGCCACATGTTGGCCATAAAATATCCTAAAATATCCGAACGACGGTGTTCCCGTATATCTAAAATACGGACTGTCTGCCAAGGGACAAATAATCGCGGCAACACTAGGATTACTTGACAGTCACTATCAACATTGCACACGGTAAATACCGACCGTTGACAAAAATTTCGAGCGTTTCTGCAGACGGCGATACTAGCAGACGATATTAGCGACCGTTGACAAATTTCGAGACATTACAGACGATGAAAGCGATTAGCAATACTGTGTTCTTCCGATTGGAGGATTAAGCAGCGGTAGATGTCAGACTTGTTGGCATGCGCCAAACGCGATTAAACTCATTGCCGAGCGTATCTAGGTGCCTGGGACTCACGAGTACAGTAATTGGAGGAAGTTGCAGGAGATGCGGTAGCTGCCACTCGTGAGTCCCAGCCATCTAGTTTAGCCCCCATCCGCACCTCGCGTAGCGGCGCGGGGGATATGCTCAACGGTGAGGCACACTCGCAAAAGCAGGTCGGCAAGCACCGTATCGCCGAGACCCTGTCAGAGCATTTGTTTCGTTATCCGGAGCCGGCACATATATTTTTTATAGAACTGAACCGCATTAGGATATTGTTGGATATTTAATGGCAAGAAATTGGCCAATTTAGCTCTCTTTCGAACGCCATCATATTAAAGCCGCCATTTTGGGGAACAAGTCAAAGGAGCGCCATTCGCTCCTTGGCAGAAAGTCCACATTTTACACACGAATGAGGCCCTGTTTGGCTATTTGCTTGGCCGCCATAATATCCGGTAGAAGTTCGGAGGAGAGCTGGTAGTGATCTTATTGGCCTCATGAACATAACAAATAGAGGAATACGATATTTTAAAAGAAACGCCATAAACATAAGGTGATACTGCGATTCAAGTGCGAAAAATAAAAGCTGCTAGCCCAGTTAATTGCTATATTATGTATATACTATATATAGGCTCTCCTCCGCACGACGTCATAATATTATGGAGGCCATAAAATATCCGAACGGGGCTCAGTTGTATTAAAAATATGCCGGCTCCGTATAACGAAACAAATGCTCTAACAGGGTCTTAGCGATATGTTACTTGCGGGCCTGTTTCTGTAAATGTGCCTCACCGCCGACCGTATCCCCTGCCCCGCTACGCGCAGATGGGGGCTAAAATAGATGGCTGGGACTCACGAGCAGCAGCTACAGTATCTCCTGCAACTTCCTTCAACTAATTTGCTCATGAGTCCCAGGCACCTAGTTTAGGCACCCATCCGCGCCGCGCGTAGCGACGCGGGGGATACGCTCGGCGGTAAGTTTAATCGCGTTTTGCGCATGCCGAAAAGTGTGAGGATACAAGTCGGCAGGTCTGACATCTACCACTGCTAAATCCTCAATCGGACGAACAGTATTGCTAATCTGTGTGGGAGCGCGTGGTCTACCCGCCATATTGCTTTTATCGTCTGTAATTGTAATGTCTCGAAATTGTCAGCGGTCGCTAATATCGTCTGCAGAAATGCTCGAAATTTTCAACGGTCGGTATTTATTGTCTGCTACTACCGTGTGCAATGTTGATATTGTCAAGTAATCCTAGTTTTGACGCGATTTGTTCCTTGGCAGAAAGTCTGTATTTTAGATATGCCTCAGCCCCGTTCGGATATTTTTGGATATTTTATGGCCGCCATAATATTATGACGCAGTTCGGAGGAGAGCTCTATATTTATTTATATATATATATATATATATATATATATATATATATATATATATATATATATATATATATATATATATATATATATATATACACAACGCTGAGTACAAGTGAGACTACACTAGACCGCTCCCTGTTGTTAGCTCGAATAATTTCTTTGACGGGTGTTAAATCTACATCATAAAAAGTGTTTAATGAAGTTTTAAAATGTGCAATTTTCTCAGCTGATATGAAATATTTACCAAAAATTGAAGCATAAACAAAACACTTCGACTTGCTTACTTTCCAGGTTTCTGCTGTCCATGCCAGGTTTCTCTATGTCATGTTGCCATCGCTGGTCACCGAAATCTGCAACGTATAAACATTTCTTTTTAAAAATAAAGATGATGATGTTTATCTAAGTAAGTAAAGTGTTTAATTTTAAACTATTCATGTTGACTTCACTGAAATCAATTATCGAAAGTGTCCGCTCAAATTATGAAAAATAAAAAAAAACACTGCGGCCAATACGGCATATGTCAATGGATGTAAAACAACAATGAAGAAATCAAAGGCGAGAGAAGCTAGAAGTGAGCGTAAAAACCTTTGACAGCAGGCATCCGGAGAATGCATTGTTTTAATTTTCAGTATGTGATATTAATCCCACTAATGAATGTTTTGAGTTGAAAATTGTGCAGATTATTGTTTAAGATTGTAATTTTAGAATAATTCCCTAGACTAGTCCGGTCTTGGTTTTCTATCGCCCCACTCTGAATCAATCATGGACTCATCTTGGAGCGGTCGCGGGTTTCTTCTCGTATACAGGCTGTTTCATCAGTAATGAATAACGTTAACATCTAGACTCAGTATAATCACGGTTTCTGCGGACAGGTTTGACAACCAGTATTGATACCTAATAGAACATGTGACAAGTGTATGTAACTAGCACTGGGCCCATATGTAATTTTATTTTAACCTTAGTACTCTAAGTACTAAAAGTTACTTTAGAAGAAAGTAGCGTAGCACTCACATCATACTATACTCAGTATGATACTGCATAGTATTATTAGTATCATGTATGTGACATACTATCAGTAAAAATGTTTAAAAGTTATATTTTTTTACCCCGCCCCCCTCTTTCCCCACCCCCCCCCCCCCCACTTATCATTTATTTAATAATAATGATGGGATTGACAGAAGTAACCCAGTAGTGCCTTTATTTGAGCTGTGACGTCCTAGGTATTTTTGACAAGGGCAAACTTGGGATGATGTATTATTTTTTTATTCTACTAGATGGCTGGGACTCATGAGCAGCAGCTACCTCATCTCCTTCAGCTTCCTTCATTTTATTTTCTCGTGAGTCTCAGCCATCTAGTTTAGCCCCACTCCACACCGCCATAGCGGCGCGGGAGATACTCTCGACAGTGGCGATAGTCACAGAAAGTTCGCAATTTACATATGACTGAGGCCCTGTTAAGGTATATTTTCGGCCTCGATAATTTGGGACTGTTATTCGAAGGATAGCCTATTATTCATTGTATTGTGTGAGGATAAACTACTCAATCAGTCAATCAACTGTTACTAAACTAAGAGAAATAATTCAAAGTGATAATTGAGAAATACTAACTTAAACAATGAACAATGCTACGAACAATTTATTTCATGTCATATTTTGCTGTATCATCAACTGACTACAGTGTAGTTTACATCAACATATAATGATGCACTTATTCATTAGGACCCAGCAGTCCCCATAATTTATCTTGATGTAAACAAAAGGACCATGTCGTTAATCTGAGACTTCTTTGGTGAGATGTTCTATGTAACAAGAGACTGTGATATGTGTGTGTCATTTAAAAGACTTTGTATATCTTTATATTTTGATGTAGAATACAATACATATGATTAGAAAAGTAAACTAAGTGCCAGTAAATTGTACAGTATATTGTTTGTGCCCTTATTAGTGATTGTTTATATTCACAGCAGGGAAATATTGCATTTAAATACTAATATTTCTGATTACTTTAAAGAGGCCGTAGATTTATCCCCCCCCCCCCCCCCCCCCCCCCCCCACTCCCACACAAAAAATAGTACCCCAGAACCCATAGCAAGGAGTAAATTCAGTTTTTGTTACATGTTTCTGGGACCATTCAATTATTATTTCTTATCATTCTTCTTCTTTGAATTTTGAGCCCTTGTGGTTCATTCATCTCTGTGAGTAGGCCTGTCTTTTCGTTTGGTGACTCCAAGTGTTTTCAGGTCTGCCTGTATATTATTTTTAAAGTCTTCTTAGTATGCCTCATGGTCTACAACCATTCAGCTCTCTTGTTTACAGCTTGTAAACCTGACGGTGGCTGGTGCATGTTAAGAGAATGACATATTTACTTTCATAAGTGTTACTAATTTTATGCATTTTGTATTTCAGGCTGTTAGTTTAAGCTTCAAAAGTAGAGCTTCACACTGACCTGCCTGAAGTGACAAGCTCCTTTCCTTGTGTGCTGGATAATTCATTTGTGTAATAGATATGCAGCGGGGTTGATGTTTTCACATCTGCATACATTTTTGGCTGCGTTGACATTTTCACATCTAGATACATTTTGGCTGCGTTGACGTTTTCACACCTGGATACATTTGGCTATCTTCAGGATATGACTACATGAGACATGTTGACTGGGATATATTACAACAATGCATTTGCTGCTGTTGAAGACATGTTATTTACCAGTATGAGTAGACTGAAACCAAATTACTAAATTGTAGTAGTTCAAGTCTTCAGCAATTCCACATGACCAAACAAGTCTACATATTGTTCTAAACAATGATTAATAACTTAGGATAAGCATTTGATAAGAATTAAATCTGAATTCAGTGAAAACACTGGATAATTGAATGATTCACATGCTGTAAATCGACCATCATACAAGTTCAAACAGAATGATTGAGTTATCCTACATATTATAGCTTCGTGTATCATACACGTGGACACAGTAAGCATTCAGTCATGAAAAAAGAATATGGACTCTACCAGTATTACATCACAACTTCAACAACAACCGGTAAGTTAAAGAAAGATTTTTTTGTTAAATAATTAATATACATGCATGGGTTTTCTCTCTTTCTTTTGTCAGTGGCTGCAATTATGTTGGGGAAAGGAGGGGGGGGGGGGGTATTAACTCTTTGAGTCCCAGGGGGTTTAGCATCACAGGCCCAATGGTTAGTAAAGAGAGACTAAAATCGACACATGCGTTCACCGGGCTTCTAGGTAAGAACCTATGAATGTATGATGCGTTTCCTGGGACTCAAAGAGTTAATAAAAAATAATAGTATGTATGTTTCTGTATCTTCCTGCTCTTCCCCTCTTTCTTACCTCTGAATGCCTTCGATTGAGGCTGATATGTATGTTTCTCCATATAGCTAATGATTCATATTGTAAGATTTGAATTCAAGAAAGGCGAGATATAGGAGAAATGTCTAGACAATCACTGTTGTCATCAGTTATAAGACAAAGATAATGTTCTCTGTATTGGACAAGTCCTGAGAAGCATGCAAAAAAAATCAGCAGGAGTATTATTTTGTTTCTACAAAACCTGACATTTCAACAACCAAATGAGTCTTTGGCATTGTTGTTCCTTAGATCACTGGAGCAAAAAAGGCTTAACCTGAATTGTTTAAGGACCTATACTTCACTGAGAAATGAAAAGGAAGAGAAGAATCAGAATGTGTATATTATTGCTAGCATCTTTCTATTTTGTGTTTATTGTATGGATCCCGCCTCTAAAGAAGCAGTCTGAAACTTGAAATATTATATAGCCAACAATTGTTAGTACTACTGATGTGCTGGAAAATATATTGTTGAATCAGTCCCTTTAAGGGTGTGTAAAGTAAAGGACCGTGTCCACACCTTCAGGCTTACTGGGCATATTGGGCTAGACCTATATTCTATAGACCAATCTGCACTTGGTGGATGATGTTGTCAGCATCACACTGGCCATCTTTACTTCCCAGGACTTCACCTGGTGCCCATTCGAGGCTGGGTCAATCTGGAAGCCAAGGTCATGTTGAAGGGGGTGGGGGGGGGGGTCCTCTACCGCCAGGACCCGAACCTGTGACTTTCCAATTTGCAGGTGAGTGTCTAGCCGCTACACCATGGCGGCTCCCTAGAGGTTGTATGCTAATAGTAATAATGTGTTGTCTCTGTTGTTGTAAATACAATGACTTTGATTAAAATATGTCACACTTGAAACAAATTTAATATAAACAAGAATTCTTACATGCAAATAAATGTGATTTTCTTAAAACACATAAATGTAATAGAAGCAAGACTTCTTACACACAAATAGATGTTAAAAATGTTAACTTGTGTGATGCAAGCAAAGACTTCTCAAACACAAGCAAATATGAAACAAAGATTTCTCAGAGAAAAACATGTCACACTAACAAGACTTCTCACACACAAATTAGTGTATGATATTAGCAGGACCTTGCATACAGACAAATGCAGATCTAATAAGATTTCTTACACTGAAACAGATGATTTACAAGCAAGACTTTTCACACAAATTAGTGTATGATATTAGCAGGACCTTGCATGCAGATCTAATAAGACTTCTCACACTGAAACAAATGTGATACAATCGAGACTTCTACAAATGTGATACAAGCAAGACTTCTCACACTCAAACAGATTTAATGCAAGCAAGAATTCTTACATGCAAACAAGTGTGAATCTAGTAAGACTTCTCACACTGAAGCAAGTGATGCTAGCAAGACTTCTCACACAAAAACCACTCTGCTTTGTACATAAAATAGACCAAATTCAGACTGGTATTGAAACAGATATTTGACTTTAAAAATGTGATTTTAAATTATTATAAATTTAATAACAAATAATACACACAAATGATTGACAGATCTTGTAAATGTTGTGTTTTCTTGTCAGAGAGCCCATATGATAGAGGAGCTAACCGATTTGAGGATGTTGAGCTCGATGATACTGCTCCTCTTCCACTTTTCATTGGAATTGGGTTAGCTCTCTTTATTGGTAAGTACTGTTGTTAACAGGTTGACCCAGCCTTGAGTGGGTACATGGTGCAGTCCCGGGAAGTAAAGGCGGCCGGTGTGGTGCTGACCACATCACCCATCTTGTGCCAATTGGTCTATAAAATATAGGTCTATCCCTATATGCCCTAAACACCTAAAGGCGTGGAAAAGGGTCCTTTACTTTACTGTTGTCAACGTCGGCATCTATGGCTTAAGCATTGCAAATATGCTTCGAAATACTGAGGTGATGGGTTTGATCCCAGCTAAAAGCAATTTGGTAGCAGACCATCTTGCATTGGTTTTGACAGTGGTACCGAGAGCTGACCGTTCTCCTTTCAAACTACTGAATGGTTAAAAAAATATGCCTAGAAAAACCACAACAGCCAAAAATTGCTTGGGTTGGTTCTGCAACCTCCTGTAAAGAACTGTCCAACTAGATAACTAACTGTTGTTAGAATCCACAGAATCTGTGGTAGTGCAGTGATTGCTTTGCAGTGATTTCAACCATGTTGTGAGTCAGACTGTTAAAAAAGCAGTAGCAAACTCTGTGATGAAGTGAACAAGCTGGTTGCCTTATGTGTGCACTTTTTGCAAACATCTCTGGGGATTGTTGCTAGAGCTGTGAATTTTGTGCTTTGTGTGACTGTCTTTTTAGGCAGAGAGAGGCCATTTCATATAGTACACACCCAAAGAAATTGAATTGTGAACACCCAAAACCTCTGTGTGTGTGTGTGTCTCTCTCTCACACCTTTTAACTGCTGAATGAATACTGGGTGTTTATTTGTAACCTGTTTGTGTTGCATAGCCTGTAATTGCACGCATTGAACGTGATCATGCTAAAGTCATGTGATAAGTACTGACCAGTGAATAAAAGAGTATGTGCTTCTTATAATTTTAAAGTAAGTAAAGTTTCCTTTTCCACGCGTTCAGGCATGTAGGGCTAGGCTTATATTTTATAGATCAGTGGGCACTTATTGGGTGATGTGGTCAACATCACACCGTCTGCCTTTACTTCCCAGGACTCCACCTGGGACCCATTCAAGGCTGGGTAGACCTGGGAGCCAAGGTCATTTTTGGAGAAAGTCTGGTTCCGTCAGGAACTGAACCCACGACCTTCCGATTCACAGGCGAGCATTTAGCCGCTACACCACGGCAACTCCCAACTCCCCCCCCCCCCCCCCATAAATTTGCCTAGTGACAGTCATAGACAGGGAACTGATACTAAGGTTGGTCTGTAACGTCCACTGTAAAGGATATGTAGTTAACATTTAGTAATGCATTAGTCGTGTGTTCTAATTCCCATTGAGGCAGTAGATTTTTTGTTTTTAATTGACCTGGCCTCCTTGGTTGATCCAGCCTTAATTGGGCACCAGGAAATATTCCAAGACGAATGCTTCATACATCATTGGCAGTATCTGTCGCAGCCTTTCTGCTTACATATCCAAGATATGAGTCTGTTCTGGCCAGTTATAGCATTAACAAAGTCTGATTCTCCTAACCTTATTACAGTTGCCATTATAGTTTCTGTGTATTTCCTCCATTTTGAACCTAAATTTTAAAGGGTGAATCTTAGAATATGACGGGAAGAAATATATAAATTCTTCAGGATCTTAAATCAACAGAGACTAGCTCACAAACTATGTTTCTTGTAAATTATAATACTTTGGCCTTATTAAATGTCGTAAGTGGGACCTGGTTGAGGATGACATTCTACAATGAATATGCTTCACATGATGTAAAAAAAAATGTCTTATTAAAAGTTGTTATAATAATAATAATTGGCATTAATTCATCATTTAAAATTGATTTTTTTTTAAATGTATGTCTTACGTTTGTACAAATCTGCACAGAAATATGTAATAAGATTTCCGTGACAGACTTAGAAATCTGCAATTGAGCAATATACAAAGAATGAGAAATGCACTATCCAGTGTATGCATTTGAGGAGATTCAGTGAAATATGCCTGGCATAAAATTTAACTGTTGTTTTTTTTTCCCTTGCTTCTTACTGGCATTTGCAAGTGGGGAACATTTTAGGCAAAATGCTTTGAGCTAATTTATTTTTGAACCTTTTTTCCCCAGGATTTGTAATATTGGTGCTAATCTGCTGTTTCTGTCGCCGCCGCCGTGTCCCATCGGCAGCTCCTCCAGACCGGCCAATCAATGCCTCACATTATCAGCGAGCTCCAGTGGCTGATGGGATAGGAGTTGGGGTAGCGTACCCTTTGTCGTCGGTGCCAACCATGCCCTACCCAAATTCTTCAGTGGTGTACCCACCTCCTCACATGGGGCCCATGATCCAGCACAACTATGGGGTGATTGGAGCAGGTCTGTGGTCTTGTAGCTCTTTCTAAATAGTTGGTCAACAGATCATCCTCATTGCACGTTAACCCAATCAATCCATAAGTGTTTGGATCCCATCCTGGGTTATACCCTGAGTGTTTTCATCAGATCTACTTTAAATCTCAATAGAGCAGTTGGTAAATTGGTGAAAACTTATTTGGAAGCTGAGGAGATGTGGTTTTATTGATGAATGATGAGAATCCCCTGTACAGATAAAAAGAGTAATTAAGATGTCTTGAAAGAAACTGACCTGTGATGAGAACTGATTGTCCACATCAGAAAGACACAATCTACGCTCTTTGGTCATGCGATGAGACGGGGGGAAAATGGAGTACATCATACACTAGGAGAGGCAGAAGGAGACAGAGAGAAAAGATTGTGGACAGTTTTACATCATGGCGTAGAGGATCATCTGTTTAAGATTTGATTGAAAGTACATGAGACAGAAGGTTGTGGATAGACATAACTACCAGCGTCACATGGCATGGAGTTTTAAGAAGATAAAGGGCATTTGCTTGACTGCATACACATTTCATACATGCACTTGGCATTCTGATGGTAACCAAGCTGTATGAATCTGGGGAGGATGTCATGTACCTACAGCCCATGTGTATGTGTGTAGGACAGACGAGTGGATGAGATAAGAGTTAAATATAAGCAGACTGAACACAAGTGACCGAATGCTGATCTTACATCAGTGGTCGGGTTATAATGATTGGGCACAACTTGAACTGGATATGAGAAATGGACCATGGTTTTCTTCACTTCTGTCAAGTTATGCTCGTCATTCTAACATCACTGGTTTGTTTACAGTATGTTCCCTGTCCCATGTATGGCTGGTAACTTTTGTCTGGTCTATCTTACTGCTACGCTTGTCATTTTACCCACACATTCACCCACACATACAAACACATGGACTGCCAGTCTATTACAGAGGAAATACTTCACAACACAGCCTTTGAACAGGCCTATAGCCTTCTCATCTAAAATTGACTGGCAAGAAAAACAAAAAAAAAGAAGATACTGTCAGCCCATGTCTTTTGCTAGTTCGTACAGTGTTCACGTTAAGCTGTGCAAGTATTTATCTACTGGCACACACATTTGTTTAGTTTTCAGCATTTGTATTTTTGGCTTAGTGTTCTAGCAGAAGTAACTGATCTTTACACAATAGATAAGTATTGTCCTGCTTATATCTGTAAGTCTTGAAGGGCATATGGTTTTCCTATTGCTCTGTCTTGGTGCAATGTCCCCAAAATCAGAAGGAGCTGTTATCTAATGATACACATTGAGATTGCCTATATTTGTGTAACACTGGTTCATTTGTGTTTGTTGCCTGGTTTTCACAGTTAACAAATCTTTGTAAGTACCTGTTATTTATATTTTTGCCTATTATATTGTACAAAAAATTGCTAAGTGTTACTTATTTATTTGCCTATATTGTTTTAACCCTGGAAGCCCTGTGGGGAAAAAGTGTCATAACCTGGGATTCTTGAAAAAATTAATTCTGTATATTTCTCTACAGTTGTACTTACAGTTAAGATGTTGTGTCTTAAAAGGGCAAATTTTTAAAATAAGACCACTCAGATACATTTTTTAAATAGTAAATATAATCATACCCTGCCCATCTAAACGCAGTTGCAGTAAGTATGAAAGCCTGTTATATGGGCCTATTGGGGGTTAGCTAAAGCTGTATTGTATTGCTGAATAATGGGCCTTATGGGGCTTAAAATCGACAGCAAGGCTTTCTGGGACAGTTGGGTTAACATTGGTTTGTTACTAGCTGTTAGTTTTTATGTCTTTTTATTGTTTTGTTTCAGGTGTCAACTACAATGGTGCCAACCATTACCCTCAACAACCACCACATTTTGGAGGTGTTCCTGCCTACCCTCCCAACCATTATATGGCCACCCTCCCAATGGCCCCTCATACCACTCCTCTCCAGTCACACTCCCCCTCGCATTCTAGTCAAGCCTCCTCCTCAGTTTCTGGGGCGACGGCCGATCCACTGGTCCCCTCACCTTCACCCTTTTTACAGCTACAGCAGCAGCAGCACCTACAGCAGCAACTGCAGCAGCACCATCACCACCCGCAACAGCTGCATCAGTTTCCACACCAGCAGCATATATCCCCGGCCGTAGCTTTTCAGCATCACCAACATATGCAACAACAGTTCCTGGGCGGGCGCCAGTCTCCAGCACTGCAGTACTCACAGATAACTTACTCTACTGTGTCACTCAACGAACACAATGCCCCACCTAAGACAGACTGTGTGGCTACAACAGCACCAACAGTGACTTCCTCTCAGATAAATCGTCCACAGGTTAACCACCAGCCTCCTCAAGTGGTAGACCAGTCAGCTGCTAACTACAAAGAGAAAGATGAAGAATAAAGTATCATTTATGTATATCATTTGTCTATTCAACACCTAAATGTGTATGTTGTGTAGAAATTCAAGTTAAATTATACATCATTTTCTGGGTATGTTGTGAAGGCTTCACATAAATTATATACTGGTGGCCCAAAGATATGAGACACTGATAAATGTAATTGTGAAATTGATAAACTAATGGCTAAACATTTGCTTCTAGGTGTTTGACATGTGCTGTATTTTTTTGTATCTGCTGTGTGCTACTAGAAGTCACTGTTAAACAGATGATCATTGATTGACAGCTGAGCTAGGCCAAGTTTGAAAATATGGGGGTGACTGCAGTCAAGCAAATACAAGGAATTCCAGTGAAATTTGACTAAAAACCTTAACCAAATTGGGGAAGCAACAAAAAAAAATTTGCACAAATGTTATTTGTCTTGTTTTGTGCACTTTTTTCTTTTTCCCCTTTTGGTTAAGCTTTTTAGTTAAATTTCACTGGAATTTCTTAGGCCATGTTTGGTATATTGTGAAGTCTTACGTTGTTATTGACTCCTTAGATTCATTTTCCGAACATATGCAGAGGGTATTGTTCCAGCCAACATCTTCTCCATTTAAGGACAGACTCTATGGAGGTGACAGCAACATCAGGATGGGTGCTGCTTTCTCAAACAACATTCATGTTGTTATGAAGGTGTGGGAAGACGACAAAAACAGATTATTGTCTCCCCCGTGTGGGTTCCAGGGCCCCATTGTGGGGGAAAACAAGAATAGACCCACTGCTTACCCAAAAGCATGTCGTAAGAGTCGACTAATTGGGAGCTTCCTTTGAAGTTGGAGTGCATCTACCTGAGAGGCAAGGAACCACCAGTCTGCATTCAAGTAAATCAGATCTGTAAAACTGATGCACACACAACACTCAGGTTCTGGAGCAGGACTGCAGTCCAGGAGTGGACGAACAACCAGAACTTTCTACCAGAGTGTACAACTGGTGAATGCGAAGAAGAAGAAGAAGATTATTGTCTATACATCGTATATCACAGTTGATATCATTGCACATTGGGCATTCCCATGCATGCTTAGTCTTTAATTGCAGCAACCACCCGCAAGGTACGCCAACTGATGATAGTTTGTCTTCTCTTGAACATGTATTGAAGATAGATTAGATATCATTTGTTTAACATATCCCATGTGTTACTGGAACCCTTCAACTTCTTTGCTTTCACGGGCTGTAACCTCCAGCAGAAAGCTCTTGGTTCTTTGTCCACTTCTGGTCTTTAGTCTTGAGTTTTGCATGCACATCTATTTTACAGATCTGGTTTATTCATATGCAGCATGTTGGATCTTTAGCCTCTCAGGCAGATGCGCTTCGACTTTGAAGGAAACACCTCTAATTAGCAAGGAACCAACAGTCTGCATACAGATAAGCCATATCTGTAAAATGCATGTGCACGCAAAACTTAGGTTCTAGAAAATTACCAAAGACCAGCAATGGGAAAACAACCAGAACTTTGCACCCGAGTTTACAACTGGTGAGTGCTAAGAAGAAATAATATAACTATTAAACACTAGGGGGTCTGTCGCAAGCCTTCGAAAATAGGGGGGGGGGGGTCGGCAGGTCTCATCTTACTGTAAGCTGTTGCACAGAAGACGTGCCCAAAACTCCAGTCAGTGCTGAACATATAGAGGATCGGTTTCTTCCTTTGTGGGCCCAATTTTGGGTGTGGGGGGGGGGGGGGGGGGGGGGGGGATTATTAAGTGTCCCCTAACACACAGGTGATTAATTAAAGACTAATAAGAGATTTGATGCATCGGGCTGGCAGATGTTATGGCTGCCTAGCTGTACAACACAACAGAACATGTCAACTGTCCTTTTAATGGCGAATAAGAAGAAGAAAAACTGGTTTCAAATGAGATGTTAGAGGTTCTATGCTCCAGTGGGAGTTGGAATTTACCAAAAAAAAGTGCATCTGTTTATCACACAAATATTTGAGATTGAAGATAAATTATTTATCATTCTTCATTTGACATATACTATATGTTGTGTACAATAAATTATATTATTTTGTCAAATAAATATATGGGTCTACATGTTATTGAAACATGTCTGTACACTTTTGCAAAAGGTAAGATGAAATTATTTGTACAAATTCAGATTATGATTGCTTGTACATCTGAGACAGATGGGACTTTTTCATTTTTGTATGCAACGGTATGCAGTATTGGCACATTTTTAGGCACATTGTGGTGCCTGTACCAACACCTATTTTTATAGGGGAAAAACCTGGTAGCAGGACATTGTTGGACTAGCCAAGTTTTTTCTTCTCAGGTTCACCGTTCTGTTTGTGGCAGGTGATGGAAGAGATGAAGAACAAATGTTGATCGCTGAAGAAAAGGTCTATTCTTAAATTTTTTTTAAATGATGATGTAACAGAACAAGGCTAATTTTTTTTTTTTACTGATGGTGTGCACTGGTATGCAGTACTGGCACCATTTTTTTAGGCATCCTATCAGCACCACTATAACAGACACTTTGTGGTGAGTGCCAGCACTTTTCTAGATACCTTTTCATGAGTACTGCCACCTTTGTGTCTAGAGGAAAAAAGCCCTGATAAAATAAATCTGTACAAGAACACAACAAGATGGTAAATGATTCTAAAGACAAACTTGACAAGGTGTGCAAATTGTTATCTTTACCATAACATGACCAGTAACTGCAATCAATCTTATACAAAAATGTGACTGTTTGTGAAGTTTATTTTTACAAGAACGTGACCAGATATACAGTCTGCCTATACGAAACTTTGACCAAATGTAAAATTCATCTTTACGGGAACTTGACCAAATGTAAAATTCATCTTTACGGGAACTTGACCAAATGTAAAATTCATCTTTACGGGAACTTGACCAAATGTAAAATTCATCTTTACGGGAACTTGACCAAAGAAACTATGAATGAGTTGACATTCTTGCTGATTCAGTGTATTGTGTTGAAGATCTAAGATGAAAGCCTAGTGCTTTATTAATATCATACCCCAGATGACGTCACAGGACACTCCAACATTTTAGAGGGTGGTAAGACTGGGTTTTTCTGCTTTCTGGTGCTTTTAACGACCCTAAAACATTTAGAACTAGCCCTAACCCCAACGCACCTACGTCCCAGGAGAGATTGGAGCCTAGGTCCCACGACTGCATGCAGCCTATCTACCACCCCCTGAAATATTAGATGCCCTGTGACCTGTGGATTTCCCCTGTTTGGGGTAGGATATTAATAAAGTACAGAAAGCCCAGATCACAGTTGACACTTAGTGAGCTGCTAGAAGCATAGCTGACCTTTTGGGAGCATCATTTGATGTGACAGGAGGCAGCAGTGAATCTCCAGTGTTGCCTAACAGAAGCTGCAACCATGACGGTTGTGAATTACAAGATGGCGTGTCCTGTTGTGAGAACCATAAATTTAAGAAAGTTGTCTTTAGACAAGATAGTCCCGCATTAATTATGACCTTTGTGTGTGTATGTATTTTTTTTTTAAATCTTAATTTTGTCACGTATTATGGTTGTTTGTGAGTCATGTATACAATTTGAAATTCAAACTCTAACGTAAGAGTCCATTACGTTGACGTTCATTTTGGGTGAGCTCTGAAAGCGGCTTGCATCTGGCAGGGTGAATGAAGCTGGTGCAAAGACTTGTCTCCAGGTCTGGTACCAAAGTATCATCTAATGGCATCTATGTTACAAAACTCTTTGTCCCCTCTCAAAGATCTGAAATCACGGGGTGCATAACACAAGATTGCTACTGGAATTTAATATTTGGGAAAAGGGGGGGGGGGGGCAACATGTTTAAAATAGTTCTGTTTTTTCTTTTTAGGAATATCCAAAAACTGAAAGTAGGGTGCTTTTTTTTTTTAGATCACCAGGGTGAAAGGGTTAAGGTATTTCTTGGACATAATGCCCAGTGAGAGAAAGAGAGCAAGTCATTTCTTATATCATTTTGAGTTTTTTTCATTTGTTATTATTATGCACTTACATTTTTTTACTTTGATTTATTGCATTTTGTGCTGAATATTTCATGTACATAACTTTATTTGCTGATATTGTTTGAAGATACTCTAACAGATGTGCATACATCAGTCTAGTCAATGATCATTTACAACAAATCCTACATCGTATTTGCTTCACGTCTGCCGCATGTCGAGGCCTGGTTGTTGCTCGCCATGGGCAGGTCCAGTAGCTCGGAAGTAAGGCTGTCTGATGGAAACCTAGCACCAATCCTAGTTAAATCTTGTTTGTTTTATAAAGCAATCTAGTACATCATAAATTGCTGCCTTGTTGAATGTTCTATCAGTTTGGAATCACTAGAAAAAAAATTGGTAACGTAACAGACTTTTTTTTTTCAACGCAAATGGTGCATTGGGCAAACCTTTTCTCTTTTTTCCCCCTCATTTTTCCTTTCAAACATACTCTCAGTCCATATAGATATTGTCTAGGCTGATGACATGAAAGAAACATACTCTCAGTCCATATAGATATTGTCTAGGCTGATGACATGAAAGAAACATACTCCCAGTCCATATAGATATTGTCTAGGCTGATGACATGAAAGAAACATACTCCCAGTCCATATAGATATTGTCTAGGCTGATGACATGAAAGAAACATACTCCCAGTCCATATAGATATTGTCTAGGCTGATGACATGAAAGAAACATACTCCCAGTCCATATAGATATTGTCTAGGCTGATGACATGAAAGAAACATACTCCCAGTCCATATAGATATTGTCTAGGCTGATGACATGAAAGAAACATACTCTCAGTCCATATAGATATTGTCTAGGCTGATGACATGAAAGAAACATACTCCCAGTCCATATAGATATTGTCTAGGCTGATGACATGAAAGAAACATACTCCCAGTCCATATAGATATTGTCTAGGCTGATGACATGAAAGAAACATACTCCCAGTCCATATAGATATTGTCTAGGCTGATGACATGAAAGAAACATACTCCCAGTCCATAT